AAATAAAAAGAAAACTTATCAATAGTTTTTGTCGATAAAAACTTTAAGAAACACTCGAGAAGAGGAAGAGAGGAAGAGATAGAACCAACCAATTCTAAAAATCATTGACTAAGGTAAGATTTTACGTAAAACTCTTTGAATTTTCATATTTTATGTAATTTTTTACAAATCACAACTTATATTTTTATATCTTTTCAATTTAAAAAATATTCTGACGATTTTCCAATGACAATTCGGCGAAATAATGGGTACCAATGGAAATGTCTCTTCAAGATCTTTCTAATGGTATGTATGACACTTCATTTAGTTAAGTAATTTAGGAGAATTTAGTGTTTCAAGTTTCTAATTTTTGAGTTTCTCGTAATTACAGACATCCAACTTTAAGCCACTAGAACTCTCTGCTTTAGTGGCCAATTTGTGGTTTAAAATAAGCCAAATGATCACAGAATGTGAAAATTTCAGAATTTAAAAATTTTTGTTTTTAATTATTTTAAAAATTATTTCCAACCAATATTTGATGTATTTTGTTATAAATTACTTAAATTTTAGTTATATTATATTTAATGAATTTTTACTTATTTTAATATATTTTTGTTATGTTAATTTCATGTAATTAGTATTATTAAAGGGTTATTAAATTGTATTTAGATTTACAAAAAAATGATTGCTATTAAATGTTAAAAAATTAAATATTTGTAAAAATTTAAATTGCTACTAAGTTTTTATGTTTTAATCATTAATTTCATATTCATACTCAACTCTATGCATTTTGCTATATTAAAATAAAATTTATTTTATATGCTAAAAGAAAATATTTTCAAATAGTTTCAAATTGTAGTTTCAAATTGTCAAAAAGGTTGCCATACAACCTAATTTGCTTAGGATGACTTACAGAAGGTTTGCCTTATTAAAATTTTGTTTATGGGTTAAATTTTGATTTTTGAATATTTCTTGAATTATTAGGATATTAAGAGAATTGAGTGATTTGTTGCTTAAGTTTAAGTTTAACGTATCAGGTAAGTGATTTGATATCCTTTCAATTTTTATGTCCCTAAAAATCACCCTCAATATATTTAGAGTTGAAATATATAATATATATTGTTTTGTTCATTTGTTTTATATGTCGAATTGAGCGTGCAAAATGTATATATGATTTTTTTTTTTCATGAATTTGAAATATGGTTTGATATTATTTTGATTTTTGAATATGATTTCGCAATAATATATTTATATATCTATCATTTGTCGGAATATAAAATTTTGCTTTGGAATGATTATGGAATTTACTTTGTATGGATTATGTTTTGAGAAAATTTATAAATATTGAATTTGTATATGTTGGGTAATTTAAAAAATATATTATGGTTTTAGTCTCTTAGTATGATTATTTTCTGACATTGCCAATGAGAATTAATTGTTGGTCATGTCAACATGTACTTTGTGATAGCTATACCAATTTCAAATTGTGCCATTGATTGAGAATAATGGTTTTTGTTTAAGTTGTTTTTAATATACTTCTGTCCAATTGCACTAGAGGAAAAATTCTAATTTTGACCTATGTCATAGGGGTTAAATGTAGTCATAATATATTATGAGAGACTAAATAAATTTATAATTTTGTGATATTTGAATCCGTTTTTATGATATAAGAATCTAGTTTTGAGAATATATTTATGAATACAATATTACCCAAAATATTTTTAAATCATTTAGTTAGTGTTTTGGCCTAAATATTTTATGACATGATTAATCCAACTGAGGGGATGTTGGTTATTTATTGAGTCATCGTACTCATTTCTTTATTTTTCTTTATTTTGTCAGATTTCAATATTTGTATTTTACGAGACTTAATCTCAAAATTTTTTTGAATTAGCAAGATTAGCATTTGTCTTTAGTTTGATATAGCTTTCAAGTGAGTACTTTATTATTGATTCTAAAAGATTTGCTACTAAAAATTTTAGTATATTTGATCAACTTGTAAACGGTATAATTTTGTAAAGTTGAGATTTTGTAAATTATTATTTTGGAGATTATTGAAGAAATGACTATCAAATGGTGATTTTGTCCTTTGTCTAATGATGAATTTATACTAAGATAATTTATGCATTGAAAACCCATGCAATATTTTTGTGGATGAGAAAAAAATGACTTAGAGGGTGAAGAAAGTTACTCAAATTTGAAAATTATTTATTATTAGCTTTAATATGATGTTCGGTGTGTATGATGGAAAAATAAAGGGAAGAAAATTTATGCATTTACTTTTTAAAAAATTAATTTAATAGTAAATTTAATAATTTAAATAAAATACGATATACTCATACAACATAAAAATAATATAAAAAAATATAAAAGTGTTAGACCTCCCAAACCTTTTGATGAAGATCTCAACAAAATTCCCCCTGAGCTCCTCCACTCTTCCAAGCGAGTAAGTCCCCTCTCAATCTCTTTGTATTTTGTTTTTTTTTTTTTTTCATGTTCTAGATCTTGTGGTTGTCAATGGAAGTGATAATGATATAGAAACAACCAACTTCATTTGGCATCACATGATCAACAAATATTTTTTAATTTGTTGTATATTGATTTCTTTGTCAACACAAGTCATTAATTTCAATGGAAGGGTCTTTTTCATCCCTTGGAAGTTTGAAAATACTCCCCAAATCCCTCTACGAATAAAATAATAATTTAAAGAAATATTTCAGTTTTTATTTTATAATTTCTAAATTGAGATCTAAATAGAGATGATAAAAATCAAATACTTTACTTATGAAGTTTAAATTTGATTTTCGTTATTAACAGTCACCTTCAGTTAAATATCTGTAAGTTGAATACAAGTTTTTGATGAGACCTGTGATATGCCTAACCCTAAAATGGGATAGTCTTTTATTCATCTAAATTTTTCTGTAAAAAAAATGGAGGTTTGAATTTGGCTGGAAATTTGTTTAGTATTTTGGAGGTTTGATGCTTTATGTTAAGCTGTTTCTCACATGTTTTATTTTGTTGTTGAATGCAGAAGAAAATACCAGGGTTCTTTTCATCCTTTGTACCAGCTTGTGCAACATGAATTTCTGACTTAGATATTGAAGGAAGAGATTTGGTCTCTCAGGCGTTTGGTGTTTATATTGGAAAAAGATGTAGTCAAGTGAATTATTCCTTTTTTCTGTTTCATGAAAATAAAAAATGTTTGACTAAACAAAGCATGTAGGGAGAAATGGCTCTCAAATGTTGATTTTGTCCTTTGTCTAATGATGATTTTATAGTGATGGAAAATTATGCATTGAAAATCCATGGAATACTTTTATAAAACAGAAAAAAAAAATTATGTGAGAGTGAAGAAAGTTTACTCAAATTTGAAAATTATTTACTCTTAGCTTTAATATGATGTTTGATGTGTATGATGGATAAACAAAAGGAAAAAAATATAAAATTTAGTGTTGTTGGTTAGAGTTATTCATGGATCAAGTTTAAATTTATATTTGATATTAATAATTTATATATGTGTTTAAGTTTGATCTGACTTAAAATTTTGGATCTCAAAATTTTTTTAAGTTAAATTCAAATTTAAAATTTAAATCTCATATTAATATATTAAACTTTATTTATATAATAAAAATTTTAAAAAATATAATTAAATTAAATTTAATATGATTATATTCAATTCACATATATATAAATTAAAAATAAAAATTAAGTTTAACAAAATATATGTAATTTTTATTTTGAATTTTTGTATAAATGTGAATTAATTTATATATAATTCATGTATATATAAAAATAATAAATTTATATATATGCAAATTCGGGTAAGCTCGGATCGAGTTTTAGCCCAAGTTCGGACTTTAAATATTTTATCTAAAGTTTGATTCGAAATTTAAATGGAAATAAATATTGTGCATAAACTAGTTTAATGGATTTTAGGTTTTTTTTTCAAAATCACTCAAAACTTGAGCGAACTTTTGAAATTAAGCAGATGTCTAGCTATTTTTAAAAAATTACATTTAACAATAAATATGATAATTTAAAATATAATATGATATGATAATATAATATGATAATAATATAAAAAATATGAAGGTGTCAGTTTAAATTTTTAGTAAAAGTTATACATGAATTTAATAAAATAAAAAAATATTTTATATTTTTATATCGATATAAATTATGATATATAATTTTATATAAAATATAATAAAAAATATGACTTATCGTATCTATTTAATAAATTTCAAATTTAAATTTTAATAATTACATTTTTTTTTAAAATTTTCAAGCCACAAATGGAAATTCTATTTTAGATGTAAGGATTGGGGATACCACATTTTATGATAATTGAATGTAATAATTTCACATTATATGAGATATGAAAATAATTGATAAATCATTTTCAAGATTAAATAAAATTTCTTGAAAAGTAAACCAAATTATTCCTAAGAATATTATTAGATAATGTGACCTTGAAACCCTATATATTTTTTCTTAAATGTTAATGTAAGCTTAGGTTGAAATTTTTTAGATTTTCTTGACTTTACATTGTTTATAATTCTACTTTGACATCATTCACATAAGGCTCGTGGTTTTGCCATGACTGATCTCCAGCTTCGTGCATACATTTTTTAAAAAGAGATTTTAATTATGCTCTAAGAATTTTTGTTCCTATCCCATTATTAATTATATTTCAAATTTAAAAATTAAAAATTAATTTTTATTCATTATATTCATAATCTTTAAATCTCATTCTCTCTGAACATCCTTACACTATTCTCCAATTTTTCCTTTTTAAAACCGATTCATTCTAATATCTCGAACCATATATTTTAAAAATTAATTTAAAATCATTAAAATTTAAAGTTAATTAAGTCGCTAAACTTCAATTTTTAAATTTTATTTTGATTTTGTTTGATTTTGGCTAAAAATACTTTTAATTTTGTAAAATTTTGTGATTAATTCTTATCTCGTATTTAATTAATAAATATATGTTTAAATTAAATTAATAAATATATAAAATTTGGGCTGCGTTCAAGTCTAACTCTAGTCTAAACCAAAGTTTTCTCCAGTTCTGATTTTGAATATTAAAAAAAAAAAAAAAGCGAACAAAAAATGGTCTGCCCGCTTAATAAGGGAATCGGTTCTAACTTTTTTAAGTTCAAACCGCAACCATCCGGTGAAAAAGCCAAAATTACTAAAGTTTCATCATCGTTCACTAGTTGACCAGGGGCCTTTTCCTGCCGTTTACCTTCAATTTCAGTTTCAATTTCAATTTCAATTGCCTTGGATTTCAGGCTTATAGCTTGTAAGTGCCCCTCGCTTTATTTTGTCTTTGATGTGCTCGATAAAATGTCTTTAACCAAATTCAGTGCTAAATGAACAAGTCCAAATCGACCCAATTTTTTTCCCTTTTTGTTAAAGGAAAAAAAGGAAAAAAATTTGTTGAATAAGGCTTTGTTTCCAATCTGGGTTTGATAATTCAAAGCAAATGAATCCTGCATATGTGACTTTGTTGTTTTTTATTCTTTTGGAAAAGTGTTTAGTATTAATACTTTAAAATACCAATCTTTTTAACTTCTGGGTTGTTATATTCTTGCATTTTTTGAAGGCTAATTACTGAATTGAAGAGCAAAAGATGGCAGAACTGAGCCTTGGTATACTTATAGATATTGTTGATGAGGAATGGATGAGAGATACTCTGCCTGATGATGGTATTGATTATGTCAAAACCCGCTTATGAATTCATGTATAAATGTTTAACATCACTTATTGAACCGGAACATAGGTATAGGTCATATGTTGTTTTAGTATTCATTATGTTAAAAAAATGGGGTTTTGAATTTGCATAATATCATAGTTTAACATTGCTTACAAAAGCTGGTAAATTTGTATCATGTGAAGTTTTGGTGTTGGTATGTTAAAATTGGGCTGCAAATTTTTATGCAAATGTTTTACATGGGGAGATTATATTGTACGGTGATGCTGTCATTAGGAAGCTTCGTGAAGATTGGAGACTTAATGTAGAAGTGCTTGAATAGGCTGTAAACTAGTTGTATGCGGATCTTGTAAAGTGAGGTTGTATCATAGCAGAATTCTGCTAGCTTGTATAATAAAATTCAGAGATTATATTGTATGGTAATTCAACATTGGTTATAGAATTACCATGCTCGCCCATGCTTTCCCCTGTGTAAAAAGGTTTTTGCTCGTTGCACCACAATGGTTCCGTTGTAGTGGAGTATTTGGAGGAGGTGAATCACAATTGGGCCTATCATTGAGCAACTTTCTGCTTCTCTCTTTTACTTTCTGTGGAAAGCATGAATACCTGTCAATTGCATGTTGCTTGATTCTGTTTGGGGGCTTGGAAAGATGATCCTATTTGATTTTCATTCCTTCTATAGTTCCTTTGTAGCTGATTTGTTTGCCTTGTTGCTAACTAATGCAGATATTTCACTGCCACCTGTAATGGTTGCTCGAACTGATGATACTGAAGACTCAAGTATGTTTATCAATATTGGATTATGCATTTTCTTTTTGAGCAATAGCATTATGAAAATGCATGTATCATTCACTGTGTTGATACTCATGTCTCTTTCCTGTTTATGGCTGCGAACATACCGGAGTATATGTGTCAATATATGTCAAACTTGTAGTTAAATATAGCATGTTTCTGTTGTCAATGCTTATATTGTTTTGTAACGGATTTCATTTATTTACTCTGTCTTTTTCTTTTCAAATTTGCTAAATTTTCAGATCAGGAGACTCAACAAGTGGATGGAAACACCTGGCATGATCTTGAATTAAATACTCAATGAGGGTCTTGGATGCTGGCAGTGCTTGGTACCTTCATATGAAAATTTTACTTCAAGAATTAATGCTCTCTGTGTGTGTTAATATGTTGTAGAACCGAGATACCATTGGATTGTGTAAGAAGTTTGCACATTGTAGATTTCAATAATTGGTTTAGGCTTTTGGATGTTAACCAATGTTGATTATAGATTTCAACATACCTCAAAATGACAGGTTTCCTTCAATTGGTGGAGGTTGCAGACTCAACATAGCTTCTGCATAAATCAGTTGAAGTGAGTTCATGCTGTGGTATAAAGCAATAATAATTAAGGCATAAATCCATACGGCAGTTTGACATTCGAGGCTCTTAGAGCTTCCTTGATCCATCTTTGGCTAGAGTGAAAATTTTGGTTTTTGTCAGGAAATGGAGATAGCTCCTGAGAATTATTTGAGTTATCATATGAGGAATCTGCTATTGTTTCCGTCATGAGCTAATGATTTAGCTACTATCATTCAGAGCCATGATTATCAATCTTTCTGGATTGGCTTGATATTCGAAGTAGAAAAAATTGAGTTTTGCAGTTGCTGCTGCAACAAACTCTGTTTACAAGGGTGAAAGCAAGGCAGCCTTTTCTCATGTTTGACTGTATTTCTAGCCATTTTGGTAAATGTCTCGAGTCACCACTTTGCTGGCTTCCTAGACATAAGAGAGAAATAAATAGGGAGAAAGAACCCATTTCAGGGCTTCTGCTTTTTAGAGAAAGTGTTGGAAACAAATCCCAAATGATGCTTTATGCAAGTCCATTTAGGGGGCATAACTGCATACATTTTGGGCTTTCATTATCACATGAAAAGCAACCTTTAAGCAGGGAATAAAGGTCTAAACCATTTTCATAATCTTGGAAACTTGGATCAATCTTTATATATATATATATATATATATATATAAAGTCGTAGTTGAAGAATAGGAGAAGAGGTTGTAGGTGTTGAGATTTGAATCCTAAATTGATTGGATGTTACATTTTAAGAATGATTGCATGAATTAATTAAATTATATTCGGATTCAACTTAGAACATCCTTTTAGTATTGCTTGTCAAATTCAAAGAATAGCTCCCATGCTTTTCAAGGATCACTCAACAAAGCAAAACACAAAAATATTCTTAGACAATGTCTGGACAACACTCCAACTACATCCCATGCACATGAAATTGACATCTTTTGCTATCTGCTCGCCTTGTCTTAAATCACAACAACAATTTGATTCCTTACTAAACATCCATGCTTCAACCTAACAACCCGACTAGTGATCGACACATTCATATTTAGTTTATAAATTGCTTCTTTATTGTTTATAAACTGAACATGTCTTCTAGCAAGCAGTGGTTGTCATTTTATAGTCTATCAGATTCGTGTAATTTCATTACAGTCCAGCCTAAGAATAATTCTTTATCCCTCTCTAGAACAAATTAGCTTTCCTATTGGATTCTTTGGATGTTCGCCCGCAGTCATTTTCTATGGAAACTTACAAAGTTAATGTAAGATACATGCAGAAAGCATGTTACCTGGCATTAGAAGTGAGTGTCGGATACGAATACACGTATAGCATGGTGAATTGATTTTTATTTTTTGAGTTCTTCCATATTTATATCCATCATATTCAAGAAAAATGAAGAATTAGAGCAAGATAGACCAGAAATACAAAGTTGCTTGCTGGCAAGTCATCACAGAAACTATCGAAAAAGACAGTTTCTTTAAAATTGTACCCAAGAAAGAACAAAAAAAAAAACCATTATCACTAGGTCAGATATCTGATTTTCCTATTAAGAAGTCAGGGTCAATTTGAGTTGGACAAATGAACATGGAAGGCTGCTGAAGGAAGCTAGTAGTTTACAACCAGGAATGGATAGAATGAATGCAAGAATGAATTGAATTTTTAAGGAACTAGAATAGCTTGTCAAATGTACTAAAGACAGTCAGTCACAGCTGTGAAAAACTAACTAATTATCACCGACAAACAATTTATGATAAAGGAAGAACTTTTTGATCTGAGTGACATTTACACGTACCTAACACCAGAAGCAAGAAATTCTTGCTCATGTAAAAGCTCTGATTAAAAACAATAATATAAAAATTAGTAACCTGTACCTGTAAAAGCTAATTCCATAGCTAGAGGTGGAATAGTAAAATTAGAGGGAAAAAAATTCAGATGATGGAATTGCAAGCCTGCACATTATGTTGGATAACATCAATTGGAACATTTTCATTTTCTTTATCATTTCTGAAGATATATAAATTTATAGCCGACATCTGAAATTAATTTTGTTAATATCTTATAGAGATTATAATAAAGGTAAGCCACTTCCAAGAACAGTGTACTAAAACATTTAGTAATAAGGTGCCGACACTCAAAATGGTTGGTGTTGACAGGAATAATGAAGACCCTACAATTCCATCAACTAACCCGAATTAGACTCTTTCACAAGGGTCAACCTTCTCCTTTTCTTCCATTGGTGATGATACTGGATATTATAATGCTAATTGGATAACCAAAGCAAGTATGAAGTCAGTATTAGAACTCAAAGCATGCTATATTGTTGGTATAGATTGGATTATGTCAGGAAATGTAAGGGGGAAACGAATTTGTAGAGAAGCAGATATGCCAAAATGTACAACTTCCACTGATGATAAATTTTTCAATATCGTTTGTTCATCTATGAGCCTCATTTGGACCAAAACTTGCCTGATACGAGTATATTATGAAAATTTGTATAGACATGTCTAGTTTTTACATGGGTAACTGAGCTTGCATTTGTGTGTGTAATGTCAGAAGAAAAAAGAGCATGTACAAAAATGACTTCCCTTTGGGTTTATTTCCTCAATCTGTATTTGTAGTTGGAAAAGCTTTATGTATTTTCCCAATGATGCCACTGGCCTTCCTTCTGGCCCTTGTTGTTCCTGTATCCGCAAGTTCAGCTAGTGCATGCTTTTCAATTTCTTCTCTCCTGATCACCATCAGCAAAGTCAGATTGTTTGAACACACATTGTACAGGATTGCGACACAATTCTCCTTGGTACGTTCAGAACTGCTATCTCTTATGTTCTGAAGCAAGAAGTGCAGAGTGTCTAGATCCCCGAGTTCATCAATAGCATTATGATGTGTAGATAGCAGTGCAAGAATTCCCAACAGCTCATCAACAAGTATACCATCCTTGATCTTCTGCAGGATCACCTTCACTGCCCCTATTTCAGTAAACTTTGCTTTATTCTCAGATACAATACATAGGTTGAATATTGCTGAGGCAGCATCCTTCACTGCCAATGGATGCCCTATTCGTAAGAGTTCGAGTAGTGGCAGAAGAGCACCAGAATTTCCAATGATGAACTTGTTTGAATCAAGTGCTGATAATGTGAAGAGAGCAGCTGCAGCATTTCTTCTTGTTTCAATGGTTCCAAACTTCATGGATTCAATAAGCAGAGGGATGACAACAGGATTTTCGGCAACTAGTTTCTTATTGTCGCCATGAATTGAAAGGTTTAAAACTGTTGTGATCAAATCCTCCTGGAGATCAGGATCTGACTCAATCTTGCTTTCTGATTCCGATAGTGGACTGAGCAATCTAGAGATGGCATTAGTAAACTCGCAAAAAACTTCCCGATATGATGGACTTGTCTTTGTTAGTCTCCGAAGCTCTTTTGCAGCTTCCTTCTGATCAGAAAGGGAAGAAGACATCTTTTCCAGCAACGAGTTTAAGTAACTTCGGTCTACCTCAGTAATCATATCTCCATCGATATCCTGATAAACCTTTGGTAGTGCAACGCCACGTTCTTTGCACCAGTGTGAAATCAGTTCTCGCACCAAGCAGTTAGGAGTAAGGATGGTGTGGGAGAGAACTTGTTTGGACAAAGGGCATGTTTGGTTACCTTCATTCAACCACTTCAGAATGCGTGGCCTATCATAAGTCTGAAAATCAATAAGAGACCGTCAATGCAGATGATTAAGAAGAAAAAAAAAACCCCCAGAAAGAAGGTTAAAATATGTAATCATAAAGAACTTGCAAATATTTAGGCTCAGATCACTATTTACTAAAATGAGAGCCGGGAATTTATGCCAAAGAGGTAAAAAATGTTGAAGATCTGGGCTCTTGGAACACACTGTGCCATTAGCAGATCAAGTAATGTTACAACATGACTGAGAGTAATCCCCGTCTACCTATTGATATCTAACCAGCTTAGAAACAGCTTCTTTTTGAGTTGTTCTACCTATTGCCACTCACCAGATTGATTTTCAACTTAATTTGAAAATCTTGGATTTTGAACCTGTCAGGTTGGCAAATTTGTTTTGGGATATCTTTCAAATAAATCAAGTCCAAAAAAGAGAAACAAATCACATGTACAGACACAAAAGATATTGGCATGAACAAGATCAAACAATGTACTTCCATTGTAATAACATAACTCTATTTTAAAGGTCAATCTTAATCAACTGGAACCTTTGCCAGTTGTTACCCCATGCATGGAATCAAAACAAGGACCAACTACAAGGATAAATCACATCAAAAACAAAAATTGAATTTGGCTTTACATGCAACTTGTAATCTATAAATAATTCCTCAATGAAGAACAGATTTTTAAAATTTTCATAGTAACTGATACCCCAAACTGGAATTGTTTCTATAAAGCAACAATTCTTTTGAATCTTCCATAGCACTCCCCCCCCCCCCCCCCCCCAAGCAAAAAAAAGAGACTCTATTGCAAAAGCATTCAATGAAAGAATCAATAAATGATAAAAGAAAATCAAAAAGCATAAAATGGATTACTAATAGACAAGAAAACTAGAAAGTAAAAAAAATTGAAGCTTTAAAGTCTAACCTGGCCTGAACCCAAGACAACGGGATCACCCATGATTTCACCTGAAAGAGGACACTTGAATTTCTCAGGCAAACCAGTATCATCCATTCCAAGACCAACATGTTTCTTCAGCTTCACTTCTTCTAAACGAGACAAGATTCTTATAGCTTCAATTGTTATCTCAATTCCATAATCATCTTCTTCAAGAATCCTCTTCACCACCCTTTGCAGTTCTTTCTTTAACTCTGTTTCTCCCTCTGCTACTGCTGACTCCTCTTTTTCAGCCATTGAAGAAAAAAAAAAGATGTTCTTTGGGAGTAAAAAGGAACAAGATTTACTACCCAATGATGAGAAAAGAGTTTGAATTGTGTTGATTCAATGGATTTTCTTATTTATTCTTTCTAATTTGCTCTGCATTTCCCCCTGTTTTGGCTATTGAAGAAAACAGGGTCTTGTTTCTTGGAAAGAAAAAAGGAACAATATTGCTAACACCCAATAAAGAAAATAAAAGAGGGATTCTGATTGGGCGGACAGAAAAGAAAAAGATTGAAAATTGGAAAAAAAAAAAAAGAGAATTTTATGAGAAAAGGCAAATTTTTGTGCTGTAAATACACTTTTCAACAATTCATCTGCTGATGATGTCAACCAAAGAGAGATGATTCAATTACCAGGTTAAGTACGGAATATAGGTCACAGTGAAAGTTGATTGGCTGACAAATTATCTGTTGCAATGCAACTATCTGTTATCTGTCAAGAGAAACCTATGTTTCTATATTATGCTTGTATCACTAATATTGCATGTCATAAGTTCTTGTTGGAAAGGGAGAGGTGTTGAATTTTGGAGGAAATGTAATCATTACGTTTAAATCATTTTAGAAAAAAGGTTTGATTTGATTGATGTAGATAACTATATTTTTCACAATCAATGTTTTTTTTTTAGAAAAAAAAAACATACGGTCACTACTTGGGTAATCATACAAAGTTAAATTCAAGACAAACCCAAAGAATGCATTAAGAAAATGGAAATATTTAAGAATATTGATTATTGGTTAAAAAAGGATTAGAAAAAGAAAAATTGTTAGATAAAAAATTTGATCTTGCATCATTCATTGAGCTCAAACACAAAAAAAATAAATGGAGTTGTTAGATTTCTGGAATTTAGCCCTCATGATTTGACGCAAGCTCAAATTGATTTGACAACTTTGGTCAAAGATTGTGAGTCTTTGGTTTGGAAATTGTTGATAATGACACCAACCCATAGTATCCACAATGGAAGAAAAATGTAGAGATATATGTATATCTTGTTGCATTTTAAAGATGATCAATTCTTTCTACTATAATCATCAACTTTTACATTGGTTGGCATTCCTTCTTCCTTCCAATCTAAGTTTGTTTTTAAAGGATTCATTTGAAAGCTGGACTAAAAAATTCCTACCACATCGAAAGATATCACTGCATCGAAAGATACGTTTTATAATTAATTTTTTTAAAAATTTAATCCAAATAATGATACAGATAGTTTTTCATCTGTTTGAGGGAAAAAGGGTTGTAACTCTATTCAATTTCCCTATCAAATTCCATACCCTTTTCCCTAGCTAAACCTGCATTATGGGGCTGATCAAACTTGTTGACAAAAGTCATCCCTTGCCATCTACAAGTAAGAACATGAGTTGTAAGTAAATTGAAATCAACAATGCATCCCTAACAAAACAAATACACTCCAAAGACAGCAAGAACATTCATGAACATCAACATTAATGTGGCAATGGCAACGAGGACAACACGACAATGACGACAACAATGAAGATGACATGGGAGTGCTTGCCTGAATTTTGGCAAGGGTAGTTTTGAGGCTATAAGATACCATATCAAACCTGTAAAATCTTCAATTAATGTACAAGATAGAGACTTCATGTATTTCTCCATTAGCCAAAGGATTTGCCATCTTATCCTTTTGGTAATATTTCACATATGCACGCTTTCTATTTGACATTTTAGCAAGTTTCAACCATAAAACAACAGAAAATAAAGATTTCTGACATTTTAATAAGTTTCAACCATAAAACAACAGAAAATAATGATCTCAATCGCATAAAGTGCATAAAATAAATTCATAGCATAGCAACATCGCTTGCAACCTGAAGTGGCTACGTATAATATGTTACCTGCAACATCCTGAAAGTACAAAAAGCAAATTTGACAAGAATATAGAATATATTAAGTTTCATTAACCTGCTAATAAACACAGATGAGAGCTAGAAGAAAGATCTAATTCATATCAGTATCTTCACCTTAAAACTAGGTACGCATACAGTCAGCAGATTGACACAACTTAATACTTAAAAAAAATTCTTCTCAGTATTTTTTTTCCCCATATTGATGTCTCACCATAGTAAGATTTTTTTACAAAAATTGATACACAATCTTTAGTTAAAAACATAGCAACCTATAAAAATTAGTCAAAATCAAAAAGTACCAGCAGCTAAAACAGAATATATATATATATATATATGTATGTATGTATGTATAGATACAATAAAGGATACAAAGGAGGATACAGATTGAGATAACGCAGAAGCCTGATGACTTCTTACTGCAAAGTGCAAAGTTATTAAAGTAAACCATGTCAAAAACAAAACTTCATACTTAAATAAAACCACCAAATTTAAATCTAAGGATGATAGCTGATAACTCACCCCAAAAAAATGGAACCTACTTGTGGTTTTCCACATTAATAAGGATATAGTTCATTTGCAGAATATCTACTGGCACATCCATGATGTCATTCTGGTCTGACATACTTCCCAACATCATCTTCAAACATGTCATCAGATTCTGAAGGATTATATCTATCATCAAATCCATTTTGTGCCCTGGAGCCTGACGTCTGATTCTCATAAGAGCTCCTCCGATTTCTGTCTCTAATGTCCAACTTCTGGTCATCCCTTCTTAAACGAAAGTCATCTGAAGAATTAGAAACAGAATAAGATGATTTGTGATCCTTATATTTAGAAATGTTAGATCGTCTTCCACTCTCATAGCGCATGGCTCTAGTGGATTCAGCATCATCTCGTTCTCTTCTACGACTTCTTCTGTCATCTGACAGCCCATGACTTCTGTGTCTTTTTGAGATTCCAGAATGATACTCTTCTCTGTGTTTCTCTTTATTAATGCTTCTCCTTGCATCTTCAAGATCATGGTGTTCAAACCATCTCGACTGCTCAAAATCATTTTGTGAGGAATCCTCAAAATTTGTAGATCTAGTATGCTGGTCATAGTGTGATCTTCTCTTTTGATGGTTTGGGCTACCTCTGGCTGATTCAGAAATGTTGCTAGTACCTTTTCTATGCTCATCAGCATCCACAGCATGGTCATAAGTAACTGGTGAATCAGATAGTAGGAACCCTTCCTCTTCTGTTCCTTTGACAAAGCAACCAATGCCCCCAGCTTTTTTTATTTCCTCAGTGTATTCCTCTATAATATCCCTCATAACCTATGAAAAAATATATTAAAATAACTTAAAGCACCATTTAAAAAGTGAAAAAACTTGCAAATTAACTAAATCTATTTTTACCTAATTTAAATTCCTTGTTAGTATTGACTCCTAAAAAATAGCCTTCTTTACCAAGGTATATAATTTGGGGAAACATTTTGGAATTTCATAACAGGAAGAATGACTAAGATATAATAAAATGGAAATTTCTCCAGTCTATTAGCAGGCATTGAGGCTTCTCATGGTCTAACCTGGGTGAAAGTTTCTTTCTTTGAAAAAAGTAAGAAATAAAAAGAAATCAGCATTTACAGAGGAAATATCAGTTAGCAGATATAATATAACAAACAAGAGAGCACAATCCAATAAGGCAATCACACTTTAAAAGAAGACATTCACACCTGTAATGTTGTCCGCTTCAATTTCTTCCCACGATATGACATTCTTCGTCTTTTGTAGTCTCTTTCTTCAGCCAATATCTCCTCTCTTGTTTTAGTCCTACTTGTGCCCTTGTATAAACAGAGAAAGAATTGTGAGGAATAAAGTAGTATCAAGAGAAAGATAGCAAATAACACACTAGTGAAAAATATGATGCAGTATATGCTCCAAGTCAAACTACTTCAGCTCTTTATGGTCATAACTTCCAAAAATTTATCCATCTCGAGAGAAAATTTTTTATGTCAATGCAAGTTTAACAAAACACTTTGTGACAATAGGTTGACATAACATTTCGATTCCAAGGACCAAAATCCTGGTAGCCGGCCAGGTAATCTAAACTTGTATTGCAGCTCTCAGTCTTGTGTATCACAGGTAATCTAAATAACCAGTTTTATAGAGCATAGCTTCAAATTCTAAAGAAAAATGCAGCTTAAAACATTTGGCATACAAATGAAGTTGTACCTCATTAGATGATGCCTGCCGAGGAAGCCCATCATGGTCAATTATAGGTCTATAGTTAGGAAGTTTCTTCCTCTCTGCATCAGCTCTCTCTGAAACATAAGCATGCTCAAGCATCCTACAAATTAAAGAGACCTCTATTAGTCATGTCAGTATCTATTATGCCAAATTAATGTAGCAACTCTCAGGCAATGACGCGTTTGTTATTAACTGAATATATATTTTAGTTTAATGGAAATATCAAATTCACAGATTTCATTGCCGTAAAAAAAATAATAATAAAGAAAAATAAACCACAAATAAAACAGGAAAATGAAAAAGTGAAGAAAAGAGAATAGCAGGGGTTATAAGAAACTTTTTAAAATCAATATTTGGCAGACTATTCGAAGTCAAGGAACTGAAAATGGTAACTAACCGCTCATATCTTGAAAGTGGTTGGGAAAACCGTAAACGCTTTATTTTTTCTTCAAGGAAACACCGTTCATGCAATGCCGCAACTGCTGCCGCCACCTGGGATACAAATATCACCCCAACACCAATAGTTTCATCGACAGTTTCAACTGGTTCATTACTTTGCTCAATTGGCTCCTCATGTTTAATTTCCTTAACACCATTAGCATCCAAACTCTGTGATTCTTGTCCCAACTTGAGTGAAACAGTCACCTTTTCTTCAGATGGAAACAACAACAACCGTGACGCACCCTCTAATATACATTGTTTGATCATATTAATCACAAAGAACTTCCCATTAACTTCACCATACAAAACAGAAAGCTGAGAACCTAACCATATTAAAACTTGAAGCAAAACAGGACATTCAAACATTCTCATCTCCAAATTCACATCCGAACCTTTCTCCTCAGCTTCTCCATATTCCATCCCTACTTCCACCAAGCCAATCGCTTCCCTCACAACAGCTTTCAAACACAACCTAACCAGCAAAACTATATGATCTCCCATATACTCATCAATCACAATACCATACCACGGCGAATTAGAAACCACCCATTTCCTGAAATCACTTCTTTTCACCATTTTCCACCCCAAAATCCCGCAAACAACATTAAACGAATACGACGCAGGGTAATCAACCCACCTCTCAACTTCCCTCCTAGTTTCCCATAAGCCCGAAGCTAAAACCCCTAAACCCTTCTTTTCACTAGCCTTACTCTCTCCCTCCTTAAAGCCCTCAAAATTAACGCATTCAACGGATAAAAAACCCGGTAAAGTAAACGTTTTTTTGTAGTTATCAACATCAAGCAAATTAACAACACCAGGACAATCCTTGTAAAAGAAATTAGACCCAAAATCAGAAAAGTAATCATCTAAAGAAAGGCAAAGTTCAGAGCATTGTTTATCCTCGAAAAGGGTGTCCTGGGAATGTAAATTTGAAGGGGTTTTGAGGGTATTTCGGTAATTTGGGAGGTCAAGATTGAGACTTTGAGTGGAAGGGCAGTGGAGGGAATGGGAGAAGAGGGATTCTGGGGGGAGGAGATGATTGGGGTTGAAAGGACAAGAGACAAGGTTGGAATTTAGGGATTCGGTGAGGGTAGAATGGGAATTTAGGGTTTGGCGGGAGAGAGAGAGGAGGGAGGTGAGAGACGATAGAGTTGTGGAGAGAGAGCAAGGGCAATTAGGGTTAGTGTTTTGTGGGAGGGAGGGAATTGGGAAATTAGGGTTAGGGTTTTGGGAAGGGAAAGAGGGTTGATTTGAACAAGGATTCATGGCGTTTGGATTTGCAGGAACAGTGGAGCACTGACAGAAAGTGCAGGCCCCTTGGCCCTTTAAGCTTAGCTCTCTTTCTTTTTCCGTCTTTTGAATATAAAATAATTTTTTCTTGCTTTTTTTTTTTTAATTAAAATTACTTACTTTGCAAAATTAATTTTACTTTCATTTAGAGGGTTATTTATTTTATACATCAAGATAAATTTTTTAAAAATGTAATTTTTGAACACAAAAGCACTGCTAAACATATTATAATTTATGTTAAAAATTCTTTTTAGTTAAAAGTAAACCAATTGTAAAAATTAATTGAGAGGTACATTTGCACTTTAAAATTTATGATTTAAAGGATTAAATAATTATATATTCACTCAATTATTTATTTTAACAAAAATAATTTATTTTTTATTTTTCAATCTCATTTTTTTTTAGATATTTTAATTTTTCACAATAAATTTTAATAGCAATACCAAATACTCAAAAATCTTAAATCTAAATTTTCTAAAATAAATTTTTATTATACTTTTCAAATGTCCTTTTTTTGTAAACTTTACCTTTTTTATCCACGATAATAATGTTAAATTAGACTTTATTTACGTTATTTTATTTGCTTTTTACTTTTCAAATTAAAAATTGTAAAGAGTGTGCTAGCAAAACTTATTAGTTTGGTTACTTTTGAAATACATGTAAATTTGCTTGTTTTATTATTTTTTAGGTACAAAAAATATTATAATTTAAAAATAATCAAATAAATTATAAACATTAAAATTTAAATTTTAAACTTATTTCATAAAACTTTTAAAAATAACTGTATATTAGAATGCTTGTAATATACTAGAATGAATGATCTTTTTAGTTCAAGTAAAAAGTTGAATAATGGTTTGAGTGAGTAAGTTTTGATGTTTAAGTAATAGGTAAGGGTGTAAATGATATATTAGTATCCGTAAGCTACTCAGATTCGATTTGAAGAAAATTTGAATTTGATTCGATTATTATCGAGTCAAGCTTGAGCTCGAGTAGTTTGACTTATCGATTGAGCCGAATTCGAGTATTTTTATATCTGACTCGAGTAGCTCGCGAGTCTAATTGAGTTTTTATATTTAAATATATTTTTATTATTTTAATTAATAAAATATTTCGAATCTGAATTCGAGTTCGAATATAAATAATCGAATTCTTATCGAGTATACGAATCGAGCTTATTTTTGCATATTAATCGAGTTTAATTGAACGAGTTCGAGTAGCTCGAATTCGATTACGAATCGAACTCGAGCTTGAAAAATAAAATTCGATCGAGTTTGAGTTGAGTATCGAGCCTCGAGTTGTGAATCGAGCTCAAGCTTGAGCTTCTCACTGTATCAGCTTGATTCGGCTCAATTACACCCCTAGTAATAGGAACAAAGAACTATAATGGATAGATATTATTGACGACTGTTGGTCTGAGTAATTAAGAAATTTAATTCCCTTGAATAAAGTTTCAATTTTGATTTTGATTTTTGTGAATAAAAAAGATAGGTATTGAGAGAACTTGTCCCCTTATGAGATTCGATTCAATTAGATTTTAAATTAATTGGATTCAATGTAACTATCAGATATTAAACAGTTTCAGATAAAAATAAAGTATAAATATTTTTTATTTTAGATGAAAAAAATTGTTACTACTTGAAATTGAAGTCTTTAACATAACAACCAAGGCCACCTCATGAAATCCAAATTTTAACCAATTAACTAATAGTAACATGACTGTTAAGTGTTAGTTAAGTATGTATTTATTCTATAAAAAATAAAATGTGTAATTATTATTAATGATAATTTTGACTAATGTTATATTTTTCATCATTTTTTTAATTTATTGATGATTATTCTAATTAAAAATTAAATAGTCTAACAATATAACATTTCATGCTTTTTATTAAATTTCATTTTTCTCAATTAAAAATGACAATTGCATTGGGTTTTAAATTATAAGGAAACTCAACTCCAGTCAAGGCCAAACCTACTATACCTTAATTGACTCCTGCCATGTGATCGCATTAGCCTATTTAGGTATCAATAGATTACATAATGTTTGATTTCAAAAATAAAATTATTTTTTATTTTTATTTTTCAAGAAAATAAAAATATGAATAAAAATATGTTTGGTAATTGAAAATAAAAATAAATTTTTAGAAAACAAAAATAAAAATGAGTTGAAATATGAAAGCAAAAAAAAATGTTTTCAATTATGAAAACAAGAGAAATATATTACTTTTTTCTTTATGTTTTATAAGTTACCATATTTAAACACTTTTAATGTCATTAATTAATAAATATATATTATATTTATAATTAAATGATATTAATAATAATATTATTGAATATTTTATTTATTTTCTTATTTTTATATTTTAGAAAATAAATTTTATTTTGATTTACTAAGTACATTTTTTGAAAAACAAGATATAGAAAATAAAAGCTATTTTCTAAAAAATAAAAAATAAAAACAAAAAACATTTTATCAAAAACCAAATGGAACCTAAATTTCTATTGAACAAGTTGAGTTAAAGAATTGCAAGGTGGGTTGTCCTGCAAAACTGTTCAATTCATAAGGAATGAAACATATAGAAACCAACTAAAGGTTGGTTTAATTGGTAGGAATCATTTTTCTTAATGTAAAGATTTTGAGTTCAAATTCGAATGATAATTTTTTATTAGAATTATTTTAAATGTACGATCTAAAATTATTGATTTTAAACTGTCAAGTATGATATACAAATTTTTTTCTTATAAAAAAAAATAAAGAATAAAATTTAAAAAAAGAAAAAAAGGAAAAGTTTGTGAACCATTCCAGTGTTGATGTTCATATATTGACTTAAATCCCAAAATTATTGCTTAGGATTCGCTAAAATATTCCTTTTTGTTCTCAGATGAATGAAAATTCACCAAAACTAACTTTTGCAGGATTGATGCCCAGGTATGTATCACTTCATCTCAATGAATGCCATCTAAAAGCTACTATTACTCTAACTAGGGCAGGTGCCGGAAGAAAAATCCTAACAGAAGAATTGAAGTGGAAATGTGGTGATTGATGAGTACTCAATCATTGATGGTAAGAACTTTTTGAAGCCATTGGTAAACCAAATTTAGATGAGCTTGTAATAGCAGTTCTTTCCAGACAGAAGAATTTTATAGCCTTTCCCACAAGGGCACTTGAAATGAAGGTCCAAACATTCCCCAATTTTCTCCACTCTCACTGCTTCTTCACAGTCCATCTCTCCATTACTCTGTAGCAACAAATTTGACATGTCAACACCACTCACCAAATGCAAACTAAATTGATAAAAACCAACCATCTCAATTTGTTTCAGAATAAATACAAGAATCAAAAGTTCTATTTCTTTGTACCATTTTCTTTGCAATCAAACAGCAATTGGTATGCATGATCCTAAGAAATTAGGAAAGCAAACCTTTATTGCCTCAGTGGTGCACACATCTTCAACTTCTCGCATAGCCTCATCCCACCATTGTCCCATCTCTTTCATCCGCTCCCTCATTCTCATCAATCTCTGCTATTAACATACATGACAAATCCTTAAGATTCTTTTCCTTTCGGGGGGTAAGTTCAAGCAGTGTTAAAATTACACTAGACTCAACAGTTCCAAGAATCAATCATGGACGAAGAAAATAAATAAACCCATTAAAAAAGAAAACAGAAGAAGCAGTTTCAAATGAAAGAAAAAACCAACCTTGGCACCGGGACTCTCTTCCTTGATCAATTCCATCCCCATCTCGTTGGAGCTTGAAGACTTTGAGGAGTTAACAGGAGATAAAATAATGGGATTAGATCTTGAACTGCTTAAAGCAGGGGCCTTTGGAGGCAATGCAAAACAAGAAGCACTTCCCTTTGACAATGGGGTATCTTCCAACGCCTTTGCATTCTCTGAAAGGTTAGCTTTTGGAGGGCTATAAGGGTCAGAAGCAGAGCGGTCAAGCTGTGGAAGAGAGAGCTTGGAAAAGCCAGAGAGAGAGTTGTGGTGGTTGTCAAGTAAAGGCTTTTTGGACTTGGGTTCGGAGATTGGTTCAGGAGAAGGACGTTTCATTGGGTTGGAAGCGGTGACATTGCCGGCACAAGTGGTGCACCGATGGCGGTTTTGGTGGTTGTTCTTCAAGCTGTCAAGGTGGAGAAGGGAGAAGTTTATAGATTCCTGGAGTTGAAGATCATCTTCTTCTTGGTTTGGAACTTCGAAGTCTTATTCTTGGTTCATTTCATTTTCACCCATTGATTCTGCCTTTTTGATGCTGCCAGTTTTTCAATCTATATCCGAGAGGTTGTGTTTCTTGTTAGAAATGCAGGAGAACCTGTTAAGGGTTTATATAGAGACTTTGAGGTGTACGAATGATTCTTGAATCTTGATTGTGTGATGGTTGTTGTAACTGACAAGCCAATGGGGGAATGCCGTGTCAAATTCCAATAACCTCAAGAAGGATAAAAAAAACGATTTCATTTTCCTACGTGAAGAAGTGGTGGGTCCAAAATACAAAAAAATTTCAATACTCCATATTATTCTATGATCAAATTAAAATACAGATAGGTTTACATGAGCAACCTCTTTATTTTATATTCCAATCCAAGAATTATAATAATTTCAATGAAAGAAACAAATCAAACAATATCCATAAAAATTTACTACATAAATTTCATGGGTGTAGAAATAGTCCTCTAGTTGTTTAACGGCCACAACCGGGACTGAAGTTGGTTAACGATGTTTTTGTCCAGCTGGAAGGCCTTAACGAGAACATCAGGATTGATGGCAGGTTCTGAGCCAAAGACTGCTTTTCCAATGGTGATAATCCCTGGGTTTTGGCTGCTCAGACCAGAAAAGGCAACAGCATTGGTGTTCCCTATGTTGAACTGGAAGTGAATGAGACCTACTGGGAAAACGAAGACATCGCCTGGGTATAGGACTTTGGTGATGAAACGGTTATCCGGGTTCGATGTAACGAAGCCAACGTAGAGTGTGCCCTCCACAACAGTTAAGATTTCCGTGGCACGAGGGTGAGTGTGAGGTGGGTTTAGGCCATAGGGTGCATAGTCTACTCGGGCAAGAGATATGCCAAGTGTGTTGAGTCCTGGTATTTTGTCAACATTGATTAGAGTGACTTTTGATCCTAGTTGATTTGATGTGTTTCCTGGAACGTTGAGCCCCGAAATGAAGAAGTCTTCTGGTTTGGCAAGCTTTGGGTCCTTGCAGAACTTGCCATTAACAAAAACTGCACAAAAGGAAAGAAAAATATTACAACTTTTTTTGTACTAGCAGGCCACAGGGAAATAGGTTGTGAGTTTTGAAATTCAAACTTCAGGTATGTTAGATGCATAAACCAACCGAACTTAGCTCGGGTTTAATAAAAAAATTACTACTTTGATACCTACCTTCCCATGCAAAAAATGAGACAACGTTTCTCAAATAATTTTTTGTGCTAAATGTCTTCAATTTAGGTGTTGAGATGAATACATTCCAAATAAAAAAGAAGAAGAATTATAGAACATACCACCAGTTCTGGTATCATTAATTGCTATACAGAAGTCCTGAAGAGGGCCTGGGTCAGAGGCAGAGGCAAGTGTGGAAGCCAGAGCCAACAGGGCAACTGCTAAAAGGAAATGAAAACCTTTCATTGTTGTAAAGAGGCTGTCTTGATATAAATTCTTGCAAGTTTTGTTGCTTGGTGAGGGGTGAGAATATCTGGCTTGAAGGCATGCCTATTTATAGATAGCAGTCACCGAACAGGTCTATTCATTTCATTCTTTAATTCTTCCTTTTTTTGAAAGAATTATTAACAGATGAAAGATTTTACCAAGTCTGCAGTGATTACTGTTTAAAAAAACATGGACGAATCATCCTTCAGCTTCTTTGAATTCAATCTTCCCATGCTTACATCAGTACATTTTGCAATGGAATTGGTCAATTTGTACATACCAAATGTTTCTTTTTTTTGTTTATTTAACTACTCTATTGGCCTTCACCTCCCAATCACATAGTTCATAAGGGAATCTGAGAAGAACCTGGAATTTTTATTTATACATGAATCTGTATTTACATGAATCTGGTGATCTGTTCAAAGGAATTTATTATTTGTCTAATTAATTAGTCAATCTCTAAAACACTTCTTAATCAGACATGGATAAATTCACAAAAGATGTGTTTTGAGTGTTCACGTTGAACTGTGTCAAATAAGATAATATAATCTATCCAAAGATACAAAACCACAAGTCTTGATTCGTTCTAAGGCTTTTCTTGCACGACTACTTCTTAATTAGGCATGCTATCCATCTGAAATTAATGAATTATTTCAAGGAATGGTCAATTAGCCGGCCTGCAGCAACAAATCCTTGCAATGGTTCTTATAATTAAAAAGTGAACAAGAATAATAAAATGAAGAAGAAAAACATATTAAAGGTTTCAGTGAACCGCATGACCTGTTAGTAGATTATTGAACTCTTAATTCCAGATATATAATTTAAATTCTGACAATTTCAAGCGTAAAAAAGTATTAATTACTACAAAATGAAAATGAAAGATAAACCCGGAAGTCTGTTTAACATTTTAACTAAGAAACTTGTTAGCCATGATCAGATTATAATCACAAACAAATTTCAAGCACCAATACTGTCATTATTATTGGCAGCAAGAATCAGAAAGATAATAGAGCCTGTACACTAAAGTTTAGCTGTGTATATGTTCATACTCTTAATTGCATGTCTGAAAAATGTTAACTTGATCAAGTCAAACATGAAGGCCATGATTCTTGGTTTTGCTGCACCGATGGCGGTGACATTGCGGGCACAGGGGGTGCACCGATGGCGGTTTTGGTCCTTGTTCTTGAAGCTGTCAAGGTGGAGAAGGGAGTGGTTTATAGATTCCTGGAGTTGAAGATCATCTTCTTCTTGGTTTGGAACTTCGAAGTCTGATTCTTGGTTCATTTCATTTTCACCCATTGATTCTGCCTTTTCGATGCTTCAAGTTTTTCAATCTATATCCGAGAGGTTGTGTTTCTTGTTCGAAATGAAGGAGAACCTGTTAAGGGTTTATATAGAGACTTTGAGGTGTACGGATGATTCTTGAATCTTGATTGTGTGACGGTTGTTGTAACTGACAAGCCAATGAGGGAATGCCATGTCAAATTCCAATAACCTCAAGAAGGAAAAAAAACCAATTTCATTTTCCTACGTGAAGAAGGGGTGGGTCCAAAATACAAAAAAATTTCAATACTCCATATTATTCTATGATCAAATTAAAATACAGATAGGTTTACATGAGCAACCTCTTTATTTTATATTCCAATCCAAGAATTATAATAAATTCAATGAGAGAAACAAATCAAACAATATCCATAACAATTTACTACATAAATTTCATGGGTGTAGAAATAGTCCTCTAGTTGTTTAACGGCCACAACCGGGACTGAAGTTGGTTAACGATATTTTTGTCCAGCCGGAAGGTCTTAACGAGAACATCAGGATTGATGGCAGGTTCTGAGCCAAAGACTGCTTTTCCAATGGTGATAATCCCTGGGTTTTGGCTGCTCAGACCAGAAAACGCAACAGCATTGGTGTTCCCTATGTTGAACTGGAAGTGAATGAGACCTACTGGGAAAACGAAGACATCTCCAGGGTATAGGACTTTGGTGATGAAACGGTTATCCGGGTTGGATGTAACGAAGCCAACGTAGAGTATGCCCTCCACAACAGTTAGGATTTCCGTGGCACGAGGGTGAGTGTGAGGTGGGTTTAGGCCATAGGGTGCATAGTCTACTCGGGCAAGAGATATGCCAAGTGTGTTGAGTCCTGGTATTTTGTCAACATTGATTAGAGTGACTTTTGATCCTAGTTGATTTGATGTGTTTCCTGGAACGTTGAGCCCCGAAATGAAGAAGTCTTCTGGTTTGGCAAGCTTTGGGTCCTTGCAGAACTTGCCATTAACAAAAACTGCACAAAAGGAAAGAAAAATATTGCAACTTTTTTTGTACTAGGAAGCCACAGGGAAATATGTTGTGAGTTTTGAAATTCAAACTTCAGTTATGTTAGATGCATAAACCAACCGAGCTTAGCACGGGTTTAATAAAAAATTACTACTTTGATACCTACCATCCCATACAAAAAATGAGACAACGTTTCTCAAATAATTTTTTGTGCTAAACGTCTTCAGTTTAGGTGTTGACATGAATACATTCCAAAGAAAACAGAAGAAGAATTAAAGAACATACCACCAGTTCTGGTATCATTAATTGCTACACAGAAGTCCTGAAGAGGGCCTGGGTCAGAGGCAGAGGCAAGTATGGAAGCCAGAGCCAACAGGGCAAATGCTACAAGGAAATGAAAACCCTTCATTGTTGTAAAGAGGCTGTCTTGATATAAATTCTTGCAAGTTTTGTTGCTTGGTGAGGGGTGAGAATTTCTGGCTTGAAGGCATGCCTATTTATAGATAGCAGTCACCGAACAGGTCTATTCATTTCATTCTTTAATTCTTCCTTTTTTTGAAAAATTATTAACAGATGAAAGATTTTACCAAGTCTGCAGTGATTACCGTTTAAAAAAAACATGGACGAATCATCCTTCAGCTTCTACATCAGTACATTTTGCAATGGAATTGGTCAATTTGTACATACCAAATGTTTATTTTTTTTGTTTATTTAACTACTCTATTGGCCTTCACCTCCCAATCACATAGTTCATATGGGAATCTGAGAAGAACCTGGAATTTTTATTTATACATGAATCTGTATTTACATGAATCTGGTGATCTGTTCAAAGGAATTTATTATTTGTCTAATTAATTAGTCAATCTCTGAACACTTCCTAATCAGGCATGGATAAATTCACAAAAGTTGTGTTTTGAGTGTTCACGTTGAACTGTGTCAAATAAGATAATATAATCTATCCAAAGATACAAAACCACAAGTCTTGATTCGTTCTAAGGCTTTTCTTGCACGACTACGTCTTAATTAGGCATGCTATCCATCTGAAATTAATGAATTTATTTCAAGGAATGGTCAATTAGCCGGCCTGCAGCAACAATTCCTTGCAATGGTTCTTATAATTAAAAAAATGAACAAGAATAATAAAATGAAGAAAAAAAACATATTAAAGGTTTCAGTGAACCGCATGACCTGTTAGTAGATTATAGAACTCTTAATTCCAGATATATAATTTAAATTCTGACAATTTCAAGTGTAAAAAAGTATTAATTACTACAAAATGAAAATGAAAGATAAACCCAAAAGTCTCTTTAACATTTAACTAAGACACTTGTTAGCCCTGATCAGATTATAATCACAAACAAATTTCAAGCACCAATACTGTCATTATTATTGGCAGCAAGAATCAGAAAGATAATAGAGCCTGTACACTAAAGTTTAGCTGTGTATATGTTCATACTCTTAATTGCATGTCTGAAAAATGTTAACTTGATCAAGTCAAACATGAAGGCCATGATTTCCAACTTGATTATAAAGCCATTCCAGCAAGCTAACGAAAGAACGACTGTAAAATATGCAAAATTTTATATTTGAATGAGAAGCGGCACTCGGAACCTGCCCAGTTGCTAGCATCTTATGTTTAAACACTGCCAAATGCCAAACATATTTTATTTGTATGGAGTGCCCGCAGCCATAGAAACCTTGGATTTGTGCTAAAGTCAACGAATGGCCCAAGTTGTCTTAAGTACTATAAAAGACATAATTTATAACGGAAATGACTACATTATAAATGGGCATGCTATCTCCAGCAAAAATTTCTCATTCTCTCCCGAAGCAATCAAACTTGGAAGAATTTAAGCTAGAAATTACATTATCACAATGAAAGGTGCTCATTTCCTCCTAGAATTTTCTCTCTTGGCTCTGGCTTCCTCATTTGCCTATGCATCTGATCCTGGCCCTCTCCAGGACTTCTGTGTAACTATCAATGACATGGGATAGAGGTATGTTCTATTTTTCTCTGTTATTCTTAAACTTGTGCTTCAAATATATGCCTAAAATAAAGCAACTCTTTACCAACGGATGGTTGGCTAAAGTGGCAAAGAAAGTGTATTTCTTTCTTTGTTGCATGGGTTTGATCCTGGGAGATTTTTCCCATGAATTCGTTAAAATGGACATAGAGAAACCGACTTGGACCATTTCAAGAAGATGATGTATTGGCAAGTCCAGAAATCCTTTGCCGCTTAAAAAAAAAATAATAAAGCAACTCTGCAAGAAAGAAAATTTTCAGGCTGCAAAACTATCTGAAACAATCTATAAGTGAAAATAACACATTGTTTTCCCTTCATGTATGCAGTGTTTGTTAACCCAAAGCTGGCCAAAGCAGAAGACTTCCTTCTTTTCAGGGCTATAACATCCCTAGAAACACAATGTGGCCCAAATATTAGGACTCAACACTCTTGGCAACTCGTTGGCTCGAATTGACTACGTACCTAATGGTTTCCTCTCACTCAAGAACATCAGGATTAATGGAGGGCACACTCTACGTTGGCTTTGTTACATCAAACCCGGATAATCGTCTCATCACCAAAATCCTATACCCTGGAGATGTGTTTGTTTTCCTTGTTGGTCTCATTCACTTCCAGTTCAATGTGGGGAAAACCAATGCTGTTGCTTTTGCTGCTTTGAGCAGCCAAAGCCCTGGTGTCATTACAATAGCAAATGCTGTGTTTGGATCAAACCCACCCATTAATCCTGATGTTCTTGTCAAGGCCTTCTTCCAATTGGACAAGAATGTGGTGAGAAATCTTCAGTGAAAATTCTGGTGGGCTAACAATTAAGGAGACCATTTTTCATCGTACTTGAATTGATGCTATAATTTGTTATGGTTTAATGCTAAAATTCTGGTGGTTTTGCTATTTGTTTTTTATCATAGTCGTTCTTGTTGATTACCCTTTTCTTTAATTTACCTTGACTTCTCTTAGTTTTGCATCCTCAGAATAAATTGAGGAAATATTTGATTATATTATATTTGTTATGAATTGAAAAGATAATGAATGAATGATAATATTCATAAAATATTCTTGCAATCCTTTAAAGAGAAACCTAGGATGACAATGATAAAAAAGAAATGAAAGAAAGATAAAAGAAGTTTGAGAAAGATGATTTGAAAAGGCAAATATAGTAACTAAGTGATGAATATGGTGATAGATTAGCCAATATAATCTGAATTATAACTAGATGATGAAAATAACGTTGACCCGTTAATGAAATTTATGAATTAATTTTAAAATTGTTAATTTTAAAAAGCCAAAAGAGAAATATGAGATAGTGGAGTATTGAGAACGTTGTTAGCACAATTGGAATTCTACAACATCCACTAGACCAACAGTTCCAAGAATCAATCATGTATCAAGAAAATAAATAAACCCATTTAAAGAAGAAAACAGTAGAAACAGTTTCTGTTAGTGTGTTAGTGGTTGAAGAAACTAGGTATGGCATTTCTACTGGCACTTTTGTAACAGGTTCTGCCATCTGATCAGTTTAGGTAACATGATGGATCTGTGCATGGTGATCCATACTATTAGGCAAACAACTTTTGTAGTAATTAAATAAACTTTTATATTTTTGAAGCTTATAAATTAATGAAATGAAGCTCATGATCTAATAAGCCAATTTACTTCAAGTGACAGATTAGTTTCTTCTGTTTTTTGTTCTTCCTCTGCTCTAAATCCTTCAATTGGTATCAGAGCATTCTTTAAGGTCTTATAGGACCTGTGAGTTTCAAAAATTGAGTGAAAAGCCATCAAACACTTACCAGCTAGCTTTTGTCAACCTTAAATTGACTCAAGCAATTGCTCCTTACCTCCACCTCCTATTTTTTCTGGTGAGAACTACCAGATATGGGCTGTCAAAATGAAGACTTATTTAAGTGCTTTTGATTTGTGGGAAGTGGTGGAAAATGAGAAGGAACCATCACAACTTCCTGCAAATCCAACAGTAACTCAAATGAAAAATTATAGTGAAGAAAAATCAAAGAGGTACAAGGCTAAAAGCTGTATTGAGTCTTCAATTTTTGATAACATATTCATTAGAATCATGACTTGTGAAACTACAAAACAAGCTTGGGATGTGCTCAAGAAAGAGTTTCAAGGCAGTGACAAGACAAAACAAATGCAAGTGTTGAATCTTAGAAGAGAGTTTGAAGTCTTAAAGATGAAAGAGTCTAAAAATTTAAATGAGTATAATGACAGACTCATAAATATAGTAAACAAGATTAGATTACTTGGTGAGGAGCTATCAGACAAAAGAATTGTGGAGAAGGTTCTTGTCAACTTACCAGAGAGGTTTGAGTCAAAAATCTCATCCTTTGAAGACGCCAAAGACCTAACCAAGATAACTCTAGCAGAATTGTTTAATGCTTTACAAGCTCAAGAGCAAAAAAGGGCTATCAGACAAGAGGATTCAACAGAAGGTGCTTTTATAGCCAAAGAGAAAAGCAAGATGTAAACAGAAAGCAAAGGCAGAAAACAAAGAGATCGAAAAAATAAAGGTTCTAGAAACAATGAAAAGAAAAGAAAATTCTTACCTTGCTCTCATTACAAAAAGACCACTCACTTGGAGAAATATTGCTGGTACATACCTGACATACAATGTAGGTACTGTAAGTAGCTTGGTCACATGGAAAAGGTATGTAAAAACAACAAACAGCAGCAGCCAGATCAACAAGCCAGAGTTGCTGACAATCAACAACAGCTAGAAGAGCAAGTTTTTGTTGCAACTTGCTATGGAACCAAAACCTCTTCAAGTGTATGGCCCATTGATAGTGGTTGCACACACCATATGGCATCTGATATCAACATGTTCAAAGAACTAGACAAGACCTGTACCTCTAAAGTCAGAATAAGTAATAGTGATTTCATAGAAGTCAAAGAAAAAGGAGTAGTGGCAGTTGAGATACCAACAGGTACCAAACTCATTTCAGATGTGTTATTTGTGCCTAAAATAGATCAAAACCTATTAAGTATAGGACAGTTGCTAGAAAATAACTACTCTTTAGTTTTCAAAGACAAGGCATGCATAATTCATGATCCCACTGGCCATGAACTTTTTACTGTTATATGAAAGAAAAATATTTTTCCTTGAATTGGCATGAAGCAAATTCCTCTACATATGCTACTTCACATGATGAATCTTCTTTATGGCATAAAAAGATGAGACATTTCAACTACAATGCATTAAATTTCATGCATAAAAATGATCTTGTATTAAACATGCCTACTGTTGAAGTCAGTGCTAGAGTGTATGAAGTCTGTTAGCTAGGAAAATAAAGTAAGTTGCCATTTGCAATTAACAAAACATGGAGGGCAAGTGAATGCGTTGGATTTACTTCATGAAACAAAAGTCTGAAGTTACAAATGTATTTTAAAAGTTCAAGGCTTGGATTGAGAATCAAAGTGGCTACAAAATCAAGATCATAAGGTCAAACAATGGTACTGAATACACATCTAACAGATTTAATGAGTTTTATGAAGTTGCAAGAATTGAACACCAACTGACAGCAACTTACACTCCACAACAAAATGGAGTTAGTGAAAGGAAGAATAGAACAATCATGGAGATGGCAAGATGTATGCTGTTTGAGAAAAATCTTTTTAAAAAATTTTAGGCAGAGGCAGTCAATATCTCTGTCTACTTGCTCAATAGGCTGCCCACAAAAGCTTTGAAGGGAAAAACTCTTTTCGAAGCCTGGTATGGAAGCAAACCATCAGTGCACCACCTTAGAGTTTTTGGTAGCATCTGTTATGTGTTCGTTCCTGATATCGAAAGGGACAAACTTGATTGAAAAGCAAAAATATGTATTTTTCTAGGCTATAGCAACATCACCAAAGGCCATAGGACTTACAATCCACTTACAGACAAGATGATTGTAAGTAGGAATATGAGATTTAATAAGCAAGCTGTCTGAAATTGAGAAAAATCAAAAGAAGAATCAGTCAAGCAAACTGCTATAGACATGATAAGCTTCCAAGATCAAGAAGATTATATGTTTGAAAATGAAATCATTGATCATGAACCAGTGAGAGGAATCAGACCACTCACAAATATTTATCAAAGATCAAATGTTGTAATTCTTGAACCTACAAGCTTTGAAAAAGCTGTCAAATTTTCAGAGTGGATGAATGCCATAAAGGAGGAGATTCATATGATTGAGAAAAATCAAACATGGATACTGGCTGACAGACCAAGCAACAAAAACATCATTGGTGTTAAATGGATTTTCAGAACAAAGTTGAATGCTGATGGTTCCATCAACAAACTTAAAGCTAGATTGGTAGCTAAAGGCTACTCCCAACAGCTTGGTGTTGATTTTTCAAAGACATTTACTCCAGTTGCAAGGTTGGACACCATAAGGCTGCTATTAGCCTTAGCAACTTAACAAATTGAAAAATATATCAACTTGATGTCAAATCTGCCTTCTTGAATGGTTATCTTGAGGAGAAGATTTACATTGAACAATCTGATGCTTTTGTTGCCAAGGGACATGAAGGTAAAGTCTATCTACTCAAGAAAGCTTTGTATGGATTAAAACAAGCTTCAAGAGTGTGAAATTCTAGAATTGATGATCATTTACTGAAGTTAGGATTCAAGAAAAGCCTCAGTGAAGCAACATTGTATATTAAAGTTTTTAACAGTAATGATCTATTGATTGTTTCTTTGTATGTTGATGATCTTTTGGTGACAGGTAGCAAATCAGCTCTTGTGGAAGATTTTAAGCTCCAAATGTAGGAAATTTTTGAGATGACAGATATGAGAGAAATATCTTATTTTCTTGGAATGGAGATTTATCAAGACCAGCAAAGAATTTTCATTTGTCAAAGAAAATATGGAAATGAAATCTTGAATAAGTTTGGGATGAAAAATTACAAACCAGTCAACACTTCTTTGGCTCAAAATGAGAAACTTATTAAAGAAGATGGAGCTAACAAAGTTGATGGTTCTATTTATAGAAGCTTGGTTGATTGCTTATTGTATTTGACAGCAACAAGGCCAGACATCATGTATGCTGCAAATTTACTCTCTAGGTTCATGCGAAATCCTAGTGAATTGGTTTTAAGGCTGCAAAAAGAGTGTTGAGATATGTCAAAGGAACCAATGAACTTGGAATTTGGTTCAAGAAGAATGAAAGTTCAAGATTGGTTGGATTCACAGACAGTGACTGGGCTGGCTCTCATGAAGACATGGAAAGCACTTCAGGCTATGTGTTTTTCATTGGATTAAATGTGTTCAGTTGGAATTCAAAGAAACAAGAAACTGTGGCTTAATCAACAGCAGAAGTAGAGTATATAGCTGCTGCAGCTGCTATTAATCAAGCAATTTGGCTAAGGAAAATTTTGCTGGATTTGAGTTAAAAGCAAGATGATCCAACAGAAATTTTTATGATAATCAGTCAACAGTTGCAATGGTCAAGAACCCTGTGTTTCATGGAAGAACTAAGCATATTAAGATCAAGTATCATTTTATTAGAGAAGTTGAAGCTAAGAGTGAAGTAAAACTGGTGCATTGCAAGTCAGAAGATCAAATTGCAAATATTTTGACCAAGGCCTTACCAAAGGCAAGGTTTCAAACATTAAGGAAAAGTCTTGGTGTTTCCAACAGAAATGCCAAGGAGGAGTGTTAGTATGTTAGTAGTTAAAGCAACTAGGTATGGTATTTCTACTGGCACTTTTGTAACAGATTCTGTCATCTGATCAGTTTAGGTAACATGATAGATCTGTGCATGGTGATCCATACTGTTAGGCAAACAACTTTTGTAGTAGTTAAACAAACTTTTGTATTTTTGAAGCCTATAAATGAAGCTCATGATCTGATGAGCCAATTTACTTCAAGTGACAGATTAGTTTCTTATGTTTTTTGTTCTTTCTCTGCTCTAAATCCTTCAGTTTCAAATGAAAGGAAAAACCAACCTTGGCATGGAACTCTCTTCCTTGATCAATTCCATCCCATCTCATTGGAGCTTGAAGACCTTGGGAAGGACTTAAACAGGAGATAAAATGGGATCAGATCTTGAACTGCTTAAAGCAGGGGCCTTTGGCGGCAATGCAGAACAAGAAGCACTTCCTTTTCACAATGGGTTATATTCCAAGGCCTTTGCATTCTCTGAAAGCTTAGCTTTTGGTGGGCTATAAGGGTCAGAAGCAGAGCGGTGAAGCTGTGGAAGAGGGAGCTTGGCGAAGCCAGCGAGAGAGTTGTTGTGGTTGTCAAGTAAAGGCTTTTTGGACTTGGGTTCAGAGATTGGTTCAGGAAAAGGACGTTTCATTGGGTTGGAAGCGGTGACAATGCGGGCACAGGTGGTGCACCGATGGCGATTTTGGTGGGTGCTCTTTAAGCTGTCAAGGTGGAGAAGGGATAGGTTTATGGATTCCTGGAGTTAGAAGATCATCTTCTTCTTGGTTTGGAACTTCGAAGTCTGATTCTTAGTTCCTTTCATTTTCACCCATTGATTCTGCCTTTGTCTTTGTCGATGCTTCAAGTTTTTCAACCTATAGTGGAGAGATCGTGTTTCGTGTGTGACATGCAGGAGAACCTGACGAGGGTTTATATAGAGCATTTTACGGGTGTACGGATTATTCTTGAATCTTGATTGTGTGACAGTTTTTGTAACTGACAAGCCAATGAGGGAATGCAATGTCAAATTCCAATAACCCCAAGAAGGAAAAAAAAAAAAAAAAAACAATTTCATTTTCCTAGGTGAAGTAGGGGTGGGTCCAAAACACAGAAAAATTTCTCTACTCCAGATTATTACATGATCAAATTAAAATAGTTTACATAAGCAACCTCTTTCAACGATGTAAACAAATCAAACATTATCCACAACAATTTACTACATAAATTTCATGGGTATAGATATAGTCCTCTAGTTGTTTAACGGCCAGAACAGGGACTGAAGTTGGTTAACGATATTCTTATCCAGCTGGATGGCCTTAACAAGAACATCAGGATTGATGGCAGGTTCTGAGCCAAAGACTGCTTTTCCAATGGTGATAATCCCTGGGTTTTGGCTGCTAAGACTAGAAAATGCAACAGCATTGGTGTTCCCTATGTTGAACTGGAAGTGAATGAGACCGATTGGAAAAACGAAGACATCTCCAGGGTATAGGACTTTGGTGATGAAACGGTTATCCGGGTTCGATGTAACGAAGCCAACGTAGAGTGTGCCCTCCACAACAGTTAGGATTTCCGTGGCACGAGGGTGAGTGTGAGGTGGGTTTAGGCCATGGGGTGCATAGTCTACTCGGACAAGAGATATGCCAAGTGTGTTAAGTCCTGATATTTTGTCCGCATTGATTAGAGTGACTTTTGATCCTAGTTGATTTGATGTGTTCCCTGGAATGTTAAGCCCCGAAAAGAAGAAGTCTTCTGGGTTGGCAAGCTTTGGGTCCTTGCAGAACTTGCCATTAACAAAAACTGCACAAAGGAAAGAAAAATATTATTATAATAGGCAAAAGAATTACAATTTTTGAGATTTAAATTTTAGATATATTAAATGCATAAATCAACTTAATTAAGCTTCTGAGTTCAAAAAATGTTATTACTTTGATAGCTACCATCCCATACAAAAAATGAGAATATTTCTCAAATAATTTTCTGTGCTAAATGTCTTCAGTTTAGATGTTGACATGAACGCATTCCCAAGAAAACAGAAGAAGAATTGAAGAACATACCACCATTTGTGGTATCATTAATTGCTATACAGAAGTCCTGAAGATGGCTGGGGTCAGAGGCAGAGGCTAGTGTGGAAAAAACGATTTCATTTCCTACGTGAAGAAGTGGTGGGTCCAAAATACAAAAAAAATTTCAATACTCCATATTATTCTATGATCAAATTAAAATACAGATAGGTTTACATGAGCAACCTCTTTATTTTATATTCCAATCCAAGAATTATAATAAATTCAATGAAAGAAACAAATCAAACAATATCCATAACAATTTACTACATAAATTTCATGGGTGTAGAAATAGTCCTCTAGTTGTTTAACGGCCACAACCGGGACTGAAGTTGGTTAACGATGTTTTTGTCCAGCTGGAAGGCCTTAACGAGAACATCAGGATTGACGACAGGTTCTGAGCCAAAGACTGCTTTTCCAATGGTGATAATCCCTGGGTTTTGGCTGCTCAGACCAGAAAAGGCAACAGCATTGGTGTTCCCTATGTTGAACTGGAAGTGAATGAGACCTACTGGGAAAACGAAGACATCTCCAGGGTATAGGACTTTGGTGATGAAACGGTTATCCGGGTTGGATGTAACGAAGCCAACGTAGAGTATGCCCTCCACAACAGTTAGGATTTCCGTGGCACGAGGGTGAGTGTGAGGTGGGTTTAGGCCATAGGGTGCATAGTCTACTCGGGCAAGAGATATGCCAAGTGTGTTGAGTCCTGGTATTTTGTCAACATTGATTAGAGTGACTTTTGATCCTAGTTGATTTTTTGTGTCTCCTGGAACGTTGAGCCCCGAAATGAAGAAGTCTTCTGGTTTGGCAAGCTTTGGGTCCTTGCAGAACTTGCCATTAACAAAAACTGCACAAAAGGAAAGAAAAATATTGCAACTTTTTTTGTACTAGGAAGCCACAGGGAAATATGTTGTGAGTTTTGAAATTCAAACTTCAGTTATGTTAGATGCATAAACCAACCGAGCTTAGCACGGGTTTAATAAAAAATTACTACTTTGATACCTACCATCCCTTACAAAAAATGAGACAACGTTTCTCAAATAATTTTTTGTGCTAAACGTCTTCAGTTTAGGTGTTGACATGAATACATTCCAAAGAAAATAGAAGAAGAATTAAAGAACATACCACCAGTTCTGGTATCATTAATTGCTACACAGAAGTCCTGAAGAGGGCCTGGGTCAGAGGCAGAGGCAAGTGTGGAAGCCAGAGCCAACAGGGCAAATGCTACAAGGAAATGAAAACCCTTCATTGTTGTAAAGAGGCTGTCTTGATATAAATTCTTGTAAGTTTTGTTGCTTGGTGAGGGGTGAGAATTTCTGGCTTGAAGGCATGCCTATTTATAGATAGTAGTCACCGAACAGGTCTATTCATTTCATTCTTTAATTCTTCCTTTTTTTGAAAAATTATTAACAGATGAAAGATATTACCAAGTCTGCAGTGATTACTGTTTAAAAAAAACATGGACGAATCATCCTTCAGCTTCTTTGAATTCAATGTTCCCATGCTTACAACAGTACATTTTGCAATGGAATTGGTCAATTTGTACATACCAAATGTTTATTTTTTTTGTTTATTTAACTACTCTATTGGCCTTCACCTCCCAATCAAATAGTTCATATCTGAGAAGAACCTGGAATTTTTATTTATACATGAATCTGTATTTACATGAATCTGGTGATCTGTTCAAAGGAATTTATTATTTGTCTAATTAATTAGTCAATCTCTGAACACTTCCTAATCAGGCATGGATAAATTCACAAAAGATGTGTTTGAGTGTTCACGTTGAACTGTGTCAAATAAGATAATATAATCTATCCAAAGATACAAAACCACAAGTCTTGATTCGTTCTAAGGCTTTTCTTGCACGACTACTTCTTAATTCAGGCATGCTATCCATCTGAAATTAATGAATTTATTTCAAAGAATGGTCAATTAGCCGGCCTGCAGCAACAATTCCTTGCAATGGTTCTTACAACTTAAAAAGTGAACAAGAATAATAAAATGAAGAGAAAAAACATATTAAAGGTTTTAGTGAACCGCATGACCTCTTAGTAGATTATTGAACTCTTAATTCCAGATATATAATTCAAATTCTGACAATTTCAAGTGTAAAAAAGTATTAATTACCACAAAATGAAAATGAAAGATAAACCCAAAAGTCTCTTTAACATTTTAACTAAGAAACTTGTTAGCCACGATCAGATTATAATCACAAACAAATTTCAAGCACCAATACTGTCATTATTATTGGCAGCAAGAATCAGAAAGATAATAGAGCCTGTACACTAAAGTTTAGCTGTGTATATGTTCATACTCTTAATTGCATGTCTGAAAAATGTTAACTTGATCAAGTCAAACATGAAGGCCATGATTTCCAACTGGATTATAAAGCCATTCCAGCAAGCTAACGAAAGAACGACTGTAAAATATGCAAAATTTTATATTTGAATGAGAAGCGGCACTCGGAACCTGCCCAGTTGCTAGCATCTTTTGTTTAAACACTGCCAAATGCCAAACATATGCCAAAAGATGACAAACCCATAGATAGAACAATCACGGAAAAAGGACAAACTAGATTTTTGTGGGTTTTGATTTTTCATGGGATTCTAGTTTGAGTTTGTTGAAATTGTTTGTAAATTTTTTAAAATTCTAAATTGCTAGATTAGAGTTGTTTCTGGATTTTTTTCTGGGATTTTTTTTTTTTAAGTTGCTTTGTAATTCTAAGTTTTGATTTGGCTTTATTTTGTTTTTATTTGATTTAAATTTCTGGAGATAATTTCGTTTTTCTAATTTGTTGGAGTTTTTCTAGTTTTTTTTTTGTTTGAATTTATGGATTTGATTTGAATTTCTAGGAAAAACTGGGTTTTCTGGGTTGGATACGAACTTTTCGATGAATACTTGAATTTTTTGGTGAAGCTTATGACGGCTAGAAGGGTTTCACGGTGGTCGGGTTTTGAGGTCATTCAATTTTTTGGGATAGGATGGTTTGTCTGGCAACCGGTTAAAATTTTCAATGTCGAATTCTTCATATTTGGCTGGAAACTAAGGGGATTTTGAATTTTTTGATGAATCTCTAGAGAGAAGTTAAAGGAAACAATTCTATAGAGAGAGAGAGAACCAAGGGTTTTTGAAAAAAAATGAAATTTTTTTATTTATTTAGGAAAGCCAAACGACATCGTTTTGTAGAAGGCATGATCCACATCCCAACTCACGGTGACCCATGCATTAACTTGTCTTTAGATTTGACTCGATAGTAGGTTTTTTCTTTTTTATTTTTTTATTTTTATTTTTATTTTTTGATTTTATGTTTTTGATTTTATTTCCATTTCTTGATTTTTTATATGTTTTATTATTTTTTTCATTATTAATTAAATGAAAAATGAATGAAGAAAAGAAAAAAAATGGTAATATTATTTATGATTTTTTTTATATTTTTGCATAATTATTAATTAATTGCATGATATTTTATATTAATTGCATGATAATTTATATATTATATTATTGCATAATTATATTATAATTGCATGATATATTATTATTGCATAATATTATTTGCATGATAATTTTTATTTATTTTAATTGATTTTTTTTAAATTAAAAAAAAAATTTTAAAAATTTTTTAATCATACTAAACTATTGGAGTATTTAAATCTTAAATTAAGTCTTAACAAACTATTAGAGGACTTAATGAATTTTTTAAAAAAATTATTTTTTTAAAAATCCTACCAACATATTAGAAGATAATTTTCGACGAAAATCTTATCAACATATTAGAAGATATTTATATAAAAAAATTATTTTCACATATAAAATAAAATTTCAATCTTACAAATATATTGGAGGATAATCGTTCATAGAAAATCTTACAAACATATTAGAAGATATTTTTGAAAACAAATCATTTTGACAAATGAAAGTTTTTTTTTACAACAAAAAAAACTAATTGAATCTAATGATGGAGCTTTTTCAAAGTAGGACATAAGTTTGTATGAATACTCCCGATATAAGAAAATTATCTTAAATTACTACCAAATTATTAGACTAATTTTAGGATCAATTTTTTATAATTAAATTATTTGATAAAATTAGAAAGAGACTTTATGGCTTGGATACTTTGAAATCGAACTAATATCATTTTTTAAATAGACACTGTGAGAGTCATATAATCTTTCTCACGTGTAAATGCATTCTCAAATCTAAAATTTGATTTCCTATACTAGAATTTAGCTTTTAAAGATACTCGAATTAAGTTTGGTACTCCATTTTAAATTGGGATATGTTCAGTTAGGTAACTAATTGCACATAAATTAAAAAGATTGGTAACGACTTTTAAAATCTATGTCTAGTGATAAGTCCACAGATCTATAAGTTATGACACCTTCCACACCAAGGACAAATTTTAAAAAGATAGTTATTTAAAAAAAAAAAACAAAAAGTCTCAAAGATGGAAAGTAAAAAAGGAAAAACAAGAACCATTTACAAAAGAAAACAAATGCCATAAATGACCTAAGGGGCAAGATAAAAAGAATCATTTGTGAATGGATTTCTCTTAGAAAGAAATAGTGACAAATGAAAAGTAAGAATAAAAAAAAGAAACCACGAAGAATGGAGCAAAATGTCAAGTCGCTTTACGTGATGAGAAATAATCATTTGATTTGAACCTTTTAAACACATGTTTGAGCCTATTCTATCCATTTCTTCTTGACTTTTCACTGTAGCCTACATCATGTGCCTGAAAGGTCTATTTTGATATAAAGTAAATGCTTGAATTGAAAAATCATATATAGAATTAAGACATGCTTAAGATAGAGTAATGAGATCATGATTTATTCTTGTGTTTAGAGATTGATTCGAAATGTGTGGGATATGTTAATAATAGATGAAATGAAAAAAAATAAAAAAAATGATAAAAGATGTGAAAAAAGGAAAAAAAAAGAAAAGAAAAACGAGAAAAAAAGAAGACTTAAATTGAAAACCCAAAAGAACGATTTGAGTAGAAAAAATCTGAGTTGAAAGCAGAAAACGTAGTTAGATAGAAGACCATACTAAATTAGGGCAAGATTCGAAAGCTCAAAATTATTTAGGAATTCAATTGAATGAGTTTTAAACAGATTTTGGATTAATATTAAATATTGTCTAATATTTATTATTTGGACATGGTTATTCCATACAAACACTTATCTTAGTGGTATGCTTTTAAATTTGTTCTTTTGCTATTTGTTTTTTTATCATAGTCGTTCTTGTTGATTACCCTTTTCTTTAATTTACCTTGACTTCTCTTAGTTTTGCATCCTCAGAATAAATTGAGGAAATATTTGATTATATTATATTTGTTATGAATTGAAAAGATCATGAATGAATGATAATATTCATAAAATATTCTTGCAATCCTTTGACGAGAAACCTGGGATGACAACAATAAAAAAGAAATGAAAGAAAGATAAAAGAAGTTTGAGAAAGATGATTTGAAAAGGCAAATATAGTAATTAAGTGATGAATATGGTGATAGATTAGCTAATATAATTTGAATTATAACTAGATGATGAAAATAAGAATATAATCCGAATTATAACTAGATGATGAAAATAACGTGGACCTGTTGATGAAATTTATGAATTAATTTTAAATTGTTAATTTTCAAAAGCCAAAAGAGAAATATGAGGTAGTGGAGTATTGAGAACGTTGTTAGCACAATTGGAATTCTACAGCATCCACTAGACCAACAGTTCCAAGAATCAATCATGTATCAAGAAAATAAATAAACCCATTTAAAGAAGAAAACAGTAGAAACAGTTTCAAATGAAAGGAAAAACCAACCTTGGCATGGAACTCTCTTCCTTGATCAATTCCATCCCATCTCATTGGAGCTTGAAGACCTTGGGAAGGACTTAAACAGGAGATAAAATGGGATCAGATCTTGAACTGCTTAAAGCAGGGGCCTTTGGCGGCAATGCAGAACAAGAAGCACTTCCTTTTCACAATGGGTTATATTCCAAGGCCTTTGCATTCTCTGAAAGATTAGCTTTTGGTGGGCTATAAGGGTCAGAAACAGAGCGGTGAAGCTGTGGAAGAGGGAGCTTGGCGAAGCCAGCGAGAGAGTTGTTGTGGTTGTCAAGTAAAGGCTTTTTGGACTTGGGTTCAGAGATTGGTTCAGGAGAAGGACGTTTCATTGGGTTGGAAGCGGTGACAATGCGGGCACAGGTGGTGCACCGATGGCGATTTTGGTGGGTGCTCTTTAAGCTGTCAAGGTGGAGAAGGGATAGGTTTATGGATTCCTGGAGTTAGAAGATCATCTTCTTCTTAGTTTGGAACTTCGAAGTCTGATTCTTAGTTCCTTTCATTTTCACCCATTGATTCTGCCTTTGTCTTTGTCGATGCTTCAAGTTTTTCAACCTATATTGGAGAGATCGTGTTTCGTTTGTGACATGCAGGAGAACCTGATGAGGGTTTAGATAGAGCATTTTAGGGGTGTACGGATGATTCTTGAATCTTGATTGTGTGACAGTTTTTGTAACTGACAAGCCAATGAGGGAATGCAATGTCAAATTCCAATAACCCCAAGAAGGAAAAAAAAAAAACAATTTCATTTTCCTAGGTGAAGTAGGGGTGGGTCCAAAACACAAAAAAATTTCTGTACTCCAGATTATTACATGATCAAATTAAAATAGTTTACAAAAGCAACCTCTTTCAACGATGTAAACAAATCAAACATTATCCACAACAATTTACTACATAAATTTCATGGGTATAGATATAGTCCTCTAGTTGTTTAACGGCCAGAACAGGGACTGAAGTTGGTTAACGATATTCTTATCCAGCTGGAAGGCCTTAACAAGAACATCAGGATTGATGGCAGGTTTTGAGCCAAAGACTGCTTTTCCAATGGTGATAATCCCTGGGTTTTGGCTGCTAAGACTAGAAAATGCAACAGCATTGGTGTTCCCTATGTTGAACTGGAAGTGAATGAGACCGATTGGAAAAACGAAGACATCTCCAGGGTATAGGACTTTGGTGATGAAACGGTTATCCGGGTTGGATGTAACGAAGCCAACGTAGAGTGTGCCCTCCACAACTGTTAGGATTTCCGTGGCACGAGGGTGAGTGTGAGGTGGGTTTAGGCCATGGGGTGCATAGTCTACTCGGACAAGAGATATGCCAAGTGTGTTAAGTCCTGGTATTTTGTCCGCATTGATTAGAGTGACTTTTGATCCTAGTTGATTTGATGTGTTCCCTGGAATGTTAAGCCCCGAAGAGAAGAAGTCTTCTGGGTTGGCAAGCTTTGGGTCCTTGCAGAACTTGCCATTAACAAAAACTGCACAATGGAAAGAAAAATATTATTATTTTTTGTACCAGGTGGTCACAGTATGATAATAGGCAAAAGAATTACAATTTTTGAGATTTAAATTTTAGATATGTTAAATGCATAAATCAACTTAATTAAGCTTCTGAGTTCAAAAAATGTTATTACTTTGATAGCTACCATCCCATACAAAAAATGAGAATATTTCTCAAATAATTTTCTGTGCTAAATATCTTCAGTTTAGATGTTGACATGAACGCATTCCAAAGAAAACAGAAGAAGAATTGAAGAACATACCACCATTTGTGGTATCATTAATTGCTATACAGAAGTCCTGAAGATGGCTGGGGTCAGAGGCAGAGGCTAGTGTGGAAGCCAGAACCAACAGGGCAAATAAATGAACACCTTTCATTGTTGTAAAGTGGCTGTCTTGATGTAAATTCTTTTGAGTTTTGTTGCTTGGTGAGGGGTGAGAATATCTGGCTTGAAGGCATGCCTATTTATAGATAGCAGTCAATGAACAGTTCTATTTTTCATTCTTCTTTTTTTTTTTTTTTTGGAAAAAATTAATAACAGATGAAAGATTTTACCAAGTCTGCAGTGATTAGTGTTTAAAGAAATATGGACGAATCATCCTTCTGCTACTTACATTTTGCAATGGAAGTGGTCAATTTTTCATACCAAATGTTTCTTTTTTTGTTTATTTAACTACTCTATTGCCTTCACCTCCCAATCACATAGTTCATAGTGAAACTGAGAAGAGTCTGGAATTGTTATTTATACATGAATCTGTATTTACATGAATCTGGTGATCTGTTCAAAGGAATTCATTATTTGCATAATTAATTGGTCAATATCTGAACATGTCCTTATCGGGCATAGATATTATCACAAGATTTGTATTTGAGTGTCCATGCATATCCCTGATTGAACTGTGTCAAATAAGATAATGTAATCTATCCAAATATATAAAACAACAGCATTGAATCTTTCTACAGCTTTTCTTGCATGACAGCTTCTCAAGCATGCTATCCATTTGAAATTAATGAATTTATTTCAACGGATGGTCAATTAGCCGGCCTGCAGCAACAATTCCTTGCAATGGTTCTCATAATTAAAATAGTGAACAAGAATAATAAAATGATGAAAAAAAATCATACTAAAAGTTTCAAACAATCGCTTGGTCTGTAATAGGTTATTGCACTCTTAATTTTAATGATACGATTCATATACACTTTCAAATATAAAAAAAAAATTAATTACTCTAAAGTGAAAGTGAAAGATAAACCCACAATGAAAGTCTCTTTTAACATTTTAACTAAGAAACTTGTTAGCCCTGATCAGATTAAAATCACAAACAATTTTCAAGCCCCTATACTGTCATTATTATATTTGAACAGCACGAATCAGAAAGATGATAGAGCCTGCACCGTAAAGTTTAACGGTGTATAAGTTCATACTCTTAATTGCATGCCTGAAAAATGTTGATCAAGTAAAACATGAAGGCCATGATTTCCAACTTAATTATAAAGCCATTCCAGCATGTTAATGAAAGAATAACTGTAAAACATGCAAAATTTTATATTTGAATGAAAAGCGGCACTTGGAACCTTCCCAGTTGCTAGCAGCCAACAAGGTTGTGTGTGGATATTTTCATATATTTCCATTCACTCCTTGCCTTTTCCTTCTTTCCTATCTTATATGCTAATTTCCAAGCTTGTAAATATTTAATGGGTTTATTCAAAGTCCCTCCCTTTAAGCCTCTGTTCCATTTTCTTTAGATTTTCAGTCTCTTCTTTGATATTGAAAGTTACATTTATGGGTTAAGACTTAAAGGTGATGAATTTAATCATGGGTATTAGCTTTTAATGGATAAAATTAAGTGCTTTTCCTGGAAACCGTCATTTCAATTAGCAAGTATTGAACTTTGCTTTCCCAAACTGGATTCTGTTATTTTCAACTGCATCCAGTTCTTAAACTATGTACGCATGTTATGACACTCTTTGTTTTATGTTATTTGGTTTCTTTTCTTCTTTTGTTATTCTTTTTCAATGGGTTACCTATTATGCCTTGTTGCTGAAAGCTTGGAAATATGTTCCATTTCAACGAACATAAGAGTGGAATAAGAAATTTTTAGATTGGATACACCATAAAATATTGGATATAAAAGAAGTTTTTCATGTAAAATGCTATTAAGTATTACCATTTTCTGAAGCTAAGTGCACCTTTTTATGTCTTTTGCGTTTGGTGTGGGGGACAATGGTCCCTCCACTGTTCTTATCTATGTCAAAAATCCTGATTCTATGGTAGTCTACACCTGGCAGTACCTGTAGCATGGATTCTTTTCTTAGATTTCTCTTCTCCTAGAGGGCTATGTCTAAAGCAGAAGAAATTGTAAAACCAAGGATTCATATAAGTGAACTTAAAATGGTTATATTTTGCTTTACTCTTTTATGTTACTGTATTATATATGAGAGTGATCTGCTTTGCCATTGATTTGAATCATCTTGACTTGCTTCCTTTTCTTTCCTGTACACGTTTTAGGTATTTGCTATATCTTCTTTCTTATATAGCATACAGATTCTCTTCTTTCCTGTTCCAACTCCCCTACATAATCTCTTCGCTTCTTCTCCTGGGCCCGTTCCCACTACATCCCCACCTCTGCTGAATTTGAGGAGCTAGTCAAGATCCTCATTCTAAATAGAAAGTATGAAACCATGTAGAAAACCATTCAACAAATGCAAAAACAGAAGCCTAGCCTTTCTTGTGCCTTTCTTTTATCATTGAGGAGTATGGGAAGAAAAGCCTCGTAGATCACGCTGTGGAGGTTTTCAATAAAAGCACTTGTTTAGGTTGCAAACAATTCATTGCTCTTTGCACTTTTGTGAGGTGAAGATGTTCCATGGAGCATATGCATTAATCAAGAGGATGATCAGGAAAGACGAGGTACCGGATAAGAGGATATATGCGATTCTGGTGAATGGGTTGTGTTCTGCTGGGAAGATGAGGGAGGCACAAAACGTCTTGTAGGACATGAGCAAGAAGGGGTTTAATCCTCCAGTTGTAGGTGGAGATTTGTTAATTGAAGGTTTGTTGAATGCAGGTTATCTTGAATCAGCCAAGAAAATGGTAAGGAGAATGACAAAGGAGGGCTTTGTGCCTGACATTGGAACATTTAATTCTTTGGTGGCAACAATTTGTAAAACTGGGGAGGTTGATTTTTGTATTGATATGTATCATAGTGTTTGTAAATTGGGGCTTTTTCCAGATATAGATGCATATAAAATTTTGATACCTGCAGCTTCAAAGGAAGGTAGGATTGATTAGGCTTTTAGACTTTTAAATAATTCAATTGAACAAGGCTATAGTCCATTCCCTAGTGTGTATGCATCTATAATCAAAGGATTGTGTAGGAAAGGGCAGTTTGATGATGCATTTAGCACTTTCAGTGAGATGAAGATCAAGGGTCATTCTCCAAACAGGCCATCTACACAATGTGTGGGCATGGAGGCAGGTTTATAGAGGCAGAAAATTAGTAGGTGGAGATGACTGAGCTGGGACTAGCACCAATTTCGAGGTGCTTTGATATGGTCACCGATGTTTTAAAGAATTGGGGGAAGCATGATTTGGCTAAGAGGATAGAGCGGTTGGAGCTTTCCCTTCGAGATGTTTAATGCTGCAATGGAGAATTGAAGATTATACCATATCATGCTGTCACAATACTTGACAGCTCAATGCTGCCACTAACCTCTGAAAGGTGAGTTCCTTTTCCAAGATTCATTTTAAGTATTTCCACACAAAAGTCTCACTGAGAATTAGTTCCTTAACTGAATTTCTCGCACTTCACTCAATAAGCTTCAACCATGTTTACTTTGAAGAAAAAATATGTCAAGTCATTCTTGCCTAGCAATTCATAGGAGTTTAGAGCAATGTCTAGCAGCGCTATTGCCATTATTACCTGTTTGACGAATGTTAATGCCAGTGCAGTATCGAAGTATTTTCATGGAATATGTTTTAGTGGAACTAAGAGTTAATGTTATTTCGCTTTTTACCAGTTGTGATGCTCCTAATTAATATTTTGGCTGTCTCGAGTGTGAATTTTCTGGTAGACTTTGGGAAAGTGGTTTCTCATGAACTCACTAGGTTCTGCATAGATAAGCCTGCTTTGACTAATCCGAAGAAAAAATATACTGGATGAAGAGTAGGAATCTCTTAGTGCTAAAAAAAATATTCTTCCCAAACTTTGCATTGAATTTGAATGCAAAAGGACCTACGAATTTAACCAATACTTTGTAAATCCCTGGTTTTGAAACCAAATCTAAAGCCAAGGCAAGTGCATTGCAAGGTCAACATTTATCACATTCCCATGCATCTGTTACTATTTGCTTGTAAAATTAAGTCACGTTACTGCTGAAATGGCATGAAAGTTGACAAAATTTTATAGGCAAAATAAGAGGAGTAAGACTGTTATAAGAGTGATGAAGTTCCATGAGGGAATATACAAGGCAGTCTGCTATATTTTCTACAAGTAAAACTGTAAAAAAAAATATCATGGTTAATCAAAATTATTATAGCTACAATATCAGGTTCATCCAAATCAATCAGTGTCATGACCAGGGGAGGTATCAAAGTGGCATTCGCGCCTATTGGACTCGATAAGCATCAAAACAACTTCCCGCATTGTTGGTCTATCAGAAGGAGACAAGCTTGTGCATATCAAAGCAATTTTCAAGACTGTTAACATGTGAGAGACAGTACTCTCATCTCGTTGATTCAATCGAGCATCAAGTATTCCGGGTGACAATGACTGATCTCTAATGAAATTTCTCACCCATGTTACAAGGTCACCACCTTGGTCTAGAGGTTGAACTGGTGTTCTTCCAGTCAGCAACTCCAATAGGACAACTCCATAGCTATAGGTGTCACTTTTTTCTGTGACTTTCATGGTGTATGCATATTCTGCATTTAAATGATCATACTCGTCAGCTAAAACCAATTTGATGTATGCTAAAGTTTGATAGAAGTCTAAATGATAGCAACATTCTAATGGAGTAAAACTTGGTGGCAGAGTATGGAAGTGATGAATGTCAATATTTTGAACAAAAATTTTCAGCATTGTTGATTCAAACAAGAGACCACTTACCTGGAGCAATGTAGCCATAAGAACCTGCAATTGCAGACATTGACTTGGATTGTGGCATGTCAATGACTTTGGCTAATCCAAAGTCTCCGACATGAGCTTCAAACTTGTCATCAAGCAATATGTTATTGGACTTTATATCACGGTGAAAGATTCTAGGCTTGCAATCGTGATGCAAATAAGCAAGACCTTGAGCAGCCCCCAAGGCAATCAGGAATCTTGTCCTCCAATCAACATTGCAAGATGCTCCATGAAGCAGCTCTCCTAAACTGCCCCTTGACATGTATTCATAAAGAAGAAGATTGGAACCTTGGTGGTAGCAGAAACCATAAAGCTTCACAATATTCCGGTGCCTGATATTCCCCAAGGTTAGAATTTCAGCACGGAAGCTGTTGTCAACGTTATTATTGCCTTCCCTGTTGGATGCAAGCTTCTTAACAGCAATGACATGACCACTTGGTAAGACAGCTTTATATACGGTTCCACAAGCTCCCCTACCAACAACAAAGCTCTCATCAAAATTGTCAGTGGCTGCAACTAAGTTCTGGAAAGTGAATCCTTCCTTAGGGGAAAAGTAAATGTCTGAAACTCGAGCAGCAGAAGGTTTTTCTTGCAAAGGAGCAACTGTTTCAACAGGGCGTCTCATGAAATATATAATAACTACTATTAAAATAAGGGAGACTCCACCAATGGCTGCTGCAACTATAGCCACAACTTTACCTAACCTGGAACCTTTATCTTTTGTATCCGGCAGAAGGGAGAATGAAGATGGTGCTGGATTACAACCACCAAGAGGTCCACCACAGAGACCTTTGTTCTCAATAAAGCTGCCGATGGCCATGTTGTTGAGGGGTGGTAGAGAAGGTATAGGCCCTGTTAAGTCATTATAGGAAAAGTTGCATCCAAGTAAGCTTGATAGATTCGCAAAAGAACCTGGGATTTCACCAGTCAAATGGTTGTTATTAAGCATAAGGTATTCCAGTAAAACAAGATTCCCAAGCTCAGGAGGGATCACTCCAGAGAGATTGTTATAGCTGAGATTCAATGCAATTTGCAAGCTGGAGAGGGCACCTAATTCAGACGGTATATTGCCATAGAATGAGTTGCCCCCCATTTGTAACTCAGTCAAACGCAATAGATTTCCTAGTGCTGGATGTATTATCCCAGACAGATTATTATCTGAAAGCTTGAGAAGCTCCAACTGAGAAAGTGTTCCCACCTCACCAGGTAAATTCCCCGTCAATCTATTCCGGCTGAGATCAAGTCGTTGAAGCATTTTGCAATTAAAAATTTCTGGTGGTATCCTTCCAGTGAAAGAGTTTGATGAGATGTTAAAGCTGGCCAACCGGGAAAGATTACCTAACTCTCTTGGCAACTCTGATGTAAAGTAGTTATATGAAAGGTGTAGCCTTTGCAGAGTTTTGCAGTTTCCAATCTCTGGAGGAATTGGCCCACTGAACTTGTTCTGACCTAGTTCAACAGCAGACAAGTTTACCAATTTGCACAGATTGGATGGAAGACTTCCTGTGAGGCTGTTTCCAACTAAAAGAAGTTGAACTAGTGATTTGCAGTTTGTAACACCAGATGGGATGTTTCCAGTGAGCCTGTTCAACCCAAGGTTCAGAAAGATCAGGTTAGAGTTTCCACAAAGTGGAGGAGGGATCCTTCCTTCTAGTTGATTGTCTGATAAATCAACTACCCAAAGTGCGCTATAAGCCCCAAGTTTTCGGGGAATGCTTCCACTCAGTGAATTGTCAAAGAGCTGAAACATAAGCAATTCTGTCAAATACTGGAATCCCATAGGAATAGGACCAGTGAGAGAATTTATGGAGAGATCAAGCTTTGACAAATTATTCAAAGTGGTAAACTCAACAGGAATAACACCACTAAGGTGGTTCTCAAAAAGATAAAGCAAACGCAACCCTTTTATCTTACTTAACTCAACTGGTATCTCTCCGGTCAACGAATTCTCCGAAAAATCAATTTGTTCTGCCGAAGAAAGATTCCCAATCTCCCTTGGAATTGTTTCATTCAATTGGTTTCTGTAAAGGTACAACGCCTTGAGATTTATAAGGTTCCCAAGCTCCTTGGGCACCCTTCCAACAAGCTTGTTGTCATAGAGAGCAAGAGTACTCAAATTTGTACAATTGCCAAGTTCCTCTGGAATCAACCCTGAGAGCTGATTATCCCAAAGGATTAACTCTTTCAAGTTCTTTAGCATTCCAATCTCTTTTGGTATCTCGCCTGTCAATTTATTTTGTGCCAGACCAAGATACTGCAAGCTTTCACATGAACCTATATGTGAAGGTAAACTTCCTGTCAACAAATTCTGCCCCGCTCGAAACCATTTTAGAATCTTGAGGTTCCCTAGAGAACTCGGCAATGATCCACTGATATTGTTGCTATATGCAAACAATTGTGACAAAGATGAAAGATTTCCAATCTCATCAGGGAAAGGTCCTGATAACCTATTGTTTTGTATATTTAGAGTTGTCAAATTAGAAAGGCTGCCTAGTTCTTTGGGAATTTGAGCTTCAAATTCATTGTCATTGAGATTGAGAACCTCCAAACTCGAACAATTTCCAATCTCTTTTGGAATGTTCCGAGTCAACCTATTGAAAGAAAGATCAAGGGAAGTCAGATGAACCAATTCACCAATGCTTGGAGACAAAATACCAGAAAGGGTCATTGAACTCAAATTAAGAGACTGGACTACAGGTACAGGGTTGTAATAATCAGTGATGGTGCAATTCACACCTTTCCATCCACAAGGACTTGGATCATTGGGGTTCCAGTTGCCCAGATGATTAAACTTGTCAACAAGATTATTCTTAATGTCAAAAAGATATTGACCCTCAGAGTTCAGCCCTTTGGATTGATGAACCAAAAGGACATGAATAAAAATAAAAACAGTGAACAGACTACATAATGATGATCTCTCCATATCCAAAGGTTGCATTCACATGAATAATAGAAATTTTAAGGCTGAAATGACTCAAACCAACCAGAAACATGAACTATATCAATCTACTCCCATGGTCGTCTGGTTCCCTGAAAACCCAACCTGAAGTTAGAAAGGAGAATTTCAAACTATCATTATATACATAAAATATAAGATGAATAGAATCAAAAGCATAGAATAAACAGGAAACAACTGTATACAACTTAACCTGTATATAATCAAAAAGAAAGACTTTGACATACCTTCCAAGGAAAACAATTGCTCCTTCCAAGGCAACCTGCTGCAGGAAAAGTTTCTCAGTTTGCAAGAAAATTTGTATACAAGGAAACCTCACTGGCTCAAACTTCGATTGAAAACATGAAGTGGGGTGCATTAAAAATGAACTGCTTTTCAATGGACTCAAAGTTCAATAAACTAAACAACCTTTTTTTTTCTTTTCTTTTGTAGGATTATGCTAAAAGAAACTAACAAAAAGGCTAAGTGTTTTTCAATATGTCTATGCAACAGAGTGATTTTAAGACCTTTTCTTTTTGCTTGGTGTGGTTGTGAAGGATATGTAAGAAAGAGATGGCCGACAAAGCATGACCATGCTCCTCTTTTCTCTTCGCTCTCACTCCATCATCTCTTTGCATTATATATTTTAGTGCTTCAAAAAAGTTAGCTGGACAGTGTTTATTTTTCAAGTTTTTCTCTCACGGTTTTAAAACTTCCATTCCATTTGTCACAACTAAAAAGTTCTTTTTTCATGGATTTCAGTGCCCTTCCAGGCTTTTAGCCAACCAATTTTCATTTTTTCATTATCTTCTTTATATTCTCTGTTCACTTAATAAAAAAAAAGGCTTAATAAGTATTTTTTACTATATCTAGGTGCTTAGGATCTGGTTTAAAGCCTAGAAATTGAATTTTTAAGCCATCCACTTGCTTACATTAGAAAAAAAGGTACTATGTACTAAACCAATGACTTAAATTGTTGGTATTTTAATCATGGATCTGAGTTCATTTACCTAAT